TGCAAAGTTTCAAGTCAATATGACAATTAGAAGTAGGTTAAATTCATCATTAGCTATTTTTCCACCCTTAGGGGTGGTATTTTTTTTTTGAAATTTAAATGGGACCAATCTGGAAGTATACACTTTCAAACAACACAAAAATTGTTCAAATCGGTTAATAAATGGCGGAGTTCTGAGGTAACAAACATAAAAAAAAAAACATACAGTCGAATTGAGAACCTCCTCCTTTTTGAAGTCGGTTGAAAAATATTGAATGTACCGATTCGACTTAGTTATAACTTTATTAAATATATGTATGTATAGATTATGTAGTTACATGTTATAATTCATGTTTCCAATTCAAAATATTTCACCTTTAAAAGAAAAAGACATTAAAATTAAGCGCAATTAAACAAACAGGCTTGACTGCTTCATATTCTTAAAGTTGAAACCTATTAATTTTTCATCCATTAGATACATCTCAAAGATTTTAGTACCTACCTAATATTGAATTTCTGACACGTTATAGTTAATTTTATTATGTCCGTATTGCTATTTAGCACGAGCTTCTTTCATGCCATCAAATATTAAAGTATTAAGTTGTAACTAATATAATTACTTAAGTTAAAAGAAAAAAAAATGTACGCATCTAATATCTAATAATATTCGATATTTTTAATAATTTTGCAGCCATCAAGTTATAAACGTGTTGCCAGAAATATTCCATATCTCAAAAACTACTTAATGTATCTTCTTTAACTATGTTACATCTGCCAACCCAAAAAAAAACTATAAACATATGAACCAGATGCTGTGTTTCCTTGTGATTTCAATTGTTAGTCTAATAGTTTTTTTTATAAAAAAATATTATATATATTTTAATATATATAAATGTGTATACTTTGCAACATTTATGATAAGTAGGTACATCGTAATCATTGTTTTGAAATTTAGAAGTACCTATATATGAACAACTACTTTTTATTATGAAAACAATATCTACGGTATGGAGAGTTCCAGAATTGGTTCACTTATGATACTAACTAGTATAAATATGATCTGTGTTTATGAGAACAAATCAACAACAACAACAAACAGGTCTTAACTCTGGGTCCAAGGTTATTTTAATATTTTTTCGTTTTATATGTATTAATTAATATGATTATTTACATATACTTAATGTTACATGTATTTATAATAAAAACAATACTCTATAAAAAACTTAAATTACTGTATTAATATAGTTTCCGATGATATATTGTAAAGTAGTAATGTTAGATTTTATCAATTAATTCATGAAGCATTGTGAGTAACACCTGAACGATATACCACACAATTCTTATATGAAAATAAAGAGAAGTAACTATATCACTTATTCCTCAGAAATAAGACACAGATTCGATTAAATAGTATAAGTTGATTAGCATTGATTTGTATGGTGTACGTCACGACTTTGGGAAAACTCTAGTCCATCTTATATGATATGCACGTCGCATATGGTCATAAACGAACATTAAATGCATTCCGGAGTACTTCCACGGTAATCAACAGTCGTGGATAAATGCGATCTACCATACCATTAGTATTCACAACCCGGTAGCGCCAATACCTACCTCTATCATGTTATACACATTGATTGATCGAAACTAATTTATAGCCTAGATGACTAATCGGTTTATCTAATATCTTACAATAATTGATCAACGCAAGATTTGACTAAACTCTCATACTGGGCAAATGTTTATATTGATATTTCAGGTGCTTGTTTTAGCCCAAGGAAAAGAAAATGGGCATCGCATCTTAACACACTATTTCTGAAACAATGTTATAAAAACCCTCGGCCTTCGCTTGGCGCAGGTGCGTCCTGTGGGTACCTAACAGTAGCCTATGTGTTATTCTAAGTCATGGTCTATGTGTGTACTAAATTTTATCCAAATCCGTCTAGTCGTTTCAACGTAAAGAAGTAACAAACAAACACACACACATTTTCCATTCACTATAATATCAACTTATAACCATCAGCAACCTGTATAAGACAATAGCAATACGCACAAACAGGGCAGTCACCCGTAGCCTTTCTCGTAATAACGTAGAAATTTTACCCACGCATGAGTGACGCATTCGTAACAGTGGACAAACCACGATATTTGACACCAATGACCGATCAATGAAACGGTAAAATAAGATACATATTATGTAAAAAGTAACATGTAGAGTACGCACTATGCACGTAAAAATTATAATCACATTACATATCCTTATTTACAGTTGCATTATATTTAATATGCCTTTGTGGTCTAGGGGCTAGCATGTGTGGCATTGTGTGTGCTGCACTATAGTATCTCCTGCGCATCTGGCTAGTCTTGAGATTGGCCGTGGTGGCCAAAATCAATCAGGAGGTCATTATAACATTAAATTATATTAATATGTATAATATATACATAATTAGTACTAGAGGCAAACTTTTGGAAGAAGTGGAAATTATTTTGAAATACTATTAAAAATATGTAAATAAATTCCTTTCTGAGAACAGATCAAGTAGCCGAATCCCAAGTAGAGTGGATATATTATATTTATTGACGTTAATTTTTATTACTGAACAGAAAAGTCATATTATATCTTTCAAAACAGAAAACTCTACATTTTAGCAATTCTTTCAATTAAAAAAGTCAAATTCTGTCAATTTACATCGATAATATACCATTTACCATTTATAATATCCAATGGCAACGCACTTGCTTAGGAAACCGAGTGAAGCGGGTTCAAATCCCGTGTCACGCACCTATAATATTCTCACGAGCGAATCATTTCCAACATGATTACCACTTGTCTTACGGTGAAGGAAAACATCGTGAGGAATTAGGAAACCTGTATGTCTAAGGAACCTAGGAAGTTTTCGAAAGACATGTGAAGTCTGCCAACCCGCTCTGCCTAGCGTGGTGGACTATGGCCTCAGACCTGATACCCGTCGTATTGACGGGAGGCCCGTGCCCAGCGAGAGCCCAGTGAGACGTTAAAAAGGGCCGAATACACCTTTATTATAGTTAAGCAGATGATTTGTTTGAACTGCTCCTATACTATTATTTTAAAGGTGCTATTTATTAAAAACTAGATACATCCGCTTTATTCATATGTGCAGAAAATATTATCCACTTTTTTACGTAAAAAAGTTTAATCGATTACCCAGTTTTTTACTACAAAATTAAGATTATGCACTTAAACGAATAATTATCTTAAAGCATTTGCTTATATATTTCTTTCGTCGAGTTTGGGTTTTCCGTTGGAATAAAAAGGTATTGTAAATGAGTCAATTCGTTGAGATAATTCTGGAAAGGACGTAGGAAAAAATTTGATTGTTCGTATAAAAATGCATCCCGTCGGTCCAAAGCGGTCAAGTACCTAAACAAGAACTTGCGTGCGCAGGAATTTTTTATTACATGACTTCTTAGAATTTTTGCGAGTGACTACACGTTTTAAATTATTTTTAAAATATTAAATCGTAGAGTCATTTAAATAAGTAATTAATTGATTTTTTTACAAGCGTAGGTAACATGTTGATTTGTCAGTTTTATAGTACTTTTTCTTTTCATATATCAGAGATATGAACGCACATTTCCGTGCGGGGTAGGAGGGGTGGGGAGGGGTATCCTGGTGGCACTGAGTTTTGAATACCTAGTGCGTTTGTGTATTCGGCATATGTAACACTTGGAAAATGCATACACACTTACCACTTGCATACATACAATCTATATTTTAGACTCAAAGGCTAGAAAAGCCAGTACTACCTACTAAAACCCAACGGCACCTCCCCCGGCTTGATGGGACGCCGCCGAAAAAATGATTAAGGTCAAATATTGACCATTGGTAATGATAAAATATAAAGGGGCGCCAAATAAATAGTTAAAGCTGCTCCTGGTAGGAGATAACCATCTAAATTGGGAAAAATATTACGAGTAGAAATGAAGACCCGGACGAGGCCTGACGAGGTCAGGTCGCTAGTAGCTATGTAATTAAAAGTAAAATTGTCGCAATAGGTATTATACGTTATAGCATACAAAAGTAGAGTCTCAGGTATCTGGAATTTAACGAATTTGAATATCTGTTTGTTATTAATAAAGTGAACCAGTTAAATAAATAACGATTAAATACGTAACCTAAATCTTTAAAAATAATCCATTCCAATAACGCACAATTGCAGGAATTATGTATTATTGAATTTTAGAAATAACGAAATCATTAACCAAATCTCGTCCATTTCCATGTAGTATGGTGCACCTAATACTTGATTCTGTGATTCAAAGGATTCATGGATGGATGGAAGTGACCTTCACGGAATTGTATTCGTGAAGTTCTCCAAAATACTCGTAGGTAATTTTGAATGGAATAAATATTAGAGACATTCATTTGATATAAACAACATTTCTGTTGATTCTTTATTTCTATAATACTTTGTTTACTATTTTAATAATACTTTGGTTACTTATATACTGAAATATAGTCGTTTCCAGGAACTAGGTAAATTGTATGCGTATTAATAAAACTGAAATATGTAAAATATTTTTTATGGCTCAACAAATAGCTGTTATTTTTTATCGAAAAAACAAGGGAAAAAGACAATAAATAATTTTTATTTCATTTTCTTATTAATACGTTATTATCGAGTTTTAAAACAGCTTTCTTCGCTGATTTGTACTTAATAATTTCCTAATATAAAATACAATAAAAACATTTCTAGAAATAAAATGTTGTTTTCTACAGAATTATCGAATAAATTAATTAAAAAAAACACTGAGCAATAAGATACAATTAAGATAAAAATATTGTAGAACTCAGTGCTATTGCGGTCTGCAGACGTACGAGTATGTTCCAAATATAAAAATAGACACACTAAACACTCGTCGACACATTGGGCCGGCTTTCTAAATTCACCGTGATTAACCTCAAATTTAGTATCTTTCTCCAAAGAACATATTTGATAATATTTTTTAAGTAACCGCTAGTGATTAAAATATAAATTAACAATGGCACAAGAAAGTGAAGGTTTCTTCAAGACGTTCCACGAAAAGATAAACAGCGCAATAGACGATGTGACACGAAATAATTTCGCCAATTTAGAATCGAATTCCAAACGTGTCTCCTATTTATGCAGTTTGCCTCTTATAAAAAATTACGATCTTTCCAGTGACGTTGCTAAATACCCTATTGGCGGAAATTTCCCTGTTGAAAAGGATTTGGATGTAGCGCGTAAACTAAAAGATGAAGGCAATAAGGCTGTACAAAAGGGTGATTGGGCTAGATCTTTGCAGCTATACAATCAAAGTATGCTCCAGATGCCACAAAAAGAGAGTAAGTAAACCTATATATTAATCTTTAAGTATGTCAAAATAAATACTTTGATAATGTTGCAGGTACTTATATTATGATTGAACGTAATTGATATGTTGCTACTTAGGTAAATGACGAGGTATTTTAAGTAAACTTTTTGTTGTGACAATTCTCACAAAAAATAACAATCATAAAACTTCATGTTACTTTAAAATTGCCGGTTTTTACCACATTACTAAGAATCTAGAGTTGATTACGTTACTTATATAAAATAGATAATTTTAAATGCGCTAGACTGTTCGAGTAGAATATAAACACATATTTTTATTATGTTACAGCTGAAGAATTATCAATTGTTTATGCAAATCGTTCTGCAGCTCTTAATCACTTAGAACAATACGAAGATGCACTTGCTGACATACGACGCTCTTTATCGTTGGGCTATCCACGGAATTTAAGGTACAAAGTTTATGAGAGAAGAGCTAGATGCCTGCTCGTTTTGAAAAGAAATCAAGAAGCCATTTTAGCATTTCAGTAAGTTCAATCTAAAGTACCTATAAATATACACAGCATGTAAACTTAGTACCTACGTCATTAATTGCAGATATCAATCTTGGTTAATTACAGAGACACTATAAGTGCACTAGACGAAGCTAATAATCTTAATAAAGATAAAAGACAAAAAATGAGAACCGACGCTAAACTTATGTTAGAAGTTCTGCACAAAGGAATAGTCCTAGCGGGAAACCCAAAAGATCCAGAACCATTAAAAAAAGTTCTACCCAAGCCCAAACTCCCTGGAAAACATAACTCGCAATATCCTGCTGCTTCAGAAGCTATCCAGATTGATTGTGATAATATCAGGGGTAGATATGCAACGGCTAGCAGGGACATAACAGCTGGTGAAGTCTTACTTGTCGAAAAGCCCCACAGTGGGGTTTTATTAGGCGAATACTGTAAAACTCATTGCCATAATTGTTTCAAAAAGTAAGTTTTTAATTTGATAGGTACACATAAAATTATCTTAATTTTAGTTTGCTATTTATTAATTTATTTTTCCACTGCAGATGCCCAATACCTTTGCCCTGTCAAAAATGTCCAAATGTAATTTTCTGCAGTGACAAATGCTTAGAAATTGCACAAAACTCATATCATGGTTACGAATGCCACATATTACCACTTTTATGGAAGTCAGGTTGTTCCGTCACCTGCCACATAGCTTTGAGGATGATAACTCAAAACAATAAAGAGTACTTTACTTCAATTGTTAATGATTTGGATAATAAATTAACAGGCACATACAAAACCGATGACTATAAAAATATATATCACTTGGTATCACACGAAGATAAAAGAACTAAGAAAGATTTCTTACATAGAACACAAATGACGATATTTTTGGTAAAACTGTTGGAATTAAGCGGTTATTTTGACGGTAAACCTAGAGGAAAACCTGTGGATATAAATGAAATTAAAACGATGGCAATAAACGAAAATCATCTTGAAGATGCTACGCTCTTCGGAAGTCTTATTCTTAAAAATCTCCAAGTGCTGCAATTTAATGCTCACGAAGTGTTTGAATTACAATGCCCGAAGCCAAGGGTTGGTCAGTATGTAATAAAACATGATGGGAAATCAATTTTTCTCGCAGGCGCTGTCTTTCCAACTTTGGCTTTATTTAATCACTCTTGTGATCCTAGTATTGTAAGGTATTTATTTTAGTCCTTTAAACGTTTTCTATCCAAACTTATATTACATAACTGTTACTGTTTTGTTAGATTTACAGATTACGCAAATTAGCACACATTATTTTATTGTAGTATTTTTTATATTTTTATAGATATTTTTGCGGTCCCTACGTTGTTGTACGAGCCGTAAAAAACATAAAGAAAGGCGAAGAAGTGGCTGAAAACTACGGGCCAATTTTCACTACTGTACCAAAACAAAAACGGCAAGAGGAACTGAAAGATCAATACTGGTTCGACTGCACTTGCTTGCCGTGCGAACAAAACTGGCCTACATATGAAGAGATGACTGAAAATTACATGCGCTTCAAGTATAAATTAGTATTTATTATTTAAAAATAAAATGAAACAAACTTTATTAGACTAGTTACAAGTGTTTTTAAACACTAGATTGAATAAAAGAGTTTAAATAACTTTACTAAAATATTGATATTAATTTTTCCTTTTTTTTATTATCAGGTGTGATTCCGACCAGCCCTGTCCAAACGTAGTGCCTGTCCCTTACGACTGTACCGAGTTCATGATACAATGTGGCTTATGCCAGCAGTACACCAATATATTAAGAGGGTTGAAATCATTACAAGTAAGTTAATTATTGTAGGTAAAATGGACAGCCGAATAGTTTTCTTTCATTTACTATTTGGTTAGAGATTTGTTATTGTGGGTTTAGAATATTAGGGTACCAAAAAAAACTTTTTTTTTTCTTTATTTACCATGAAAATATCGTTCAAGATGACGAAAAAAAAATCTGGTAAAGTTTGAGCTCTTAATATTACTTATATTAAGAAGTTCATCAGGTAAGGCTTATCGTGATTTTTTATTTTCCATATAAATAACATGGGTTTTTTTTTTGTATTTTTAATACGCTCAAACTAAATATTTTCCAGTCAAATTAAAAACATATACTTGTAGGGAATTAAACGATCTACATAAAATATCTGACATGATTTTTTGCTTACTCGACTCGTTTAAAAGTTATTCGAGATTAAAGTTCAACATCAAATGCTAAATGATGACTTTTACAATTTTTCATACTTTATCACAAAATAATGTAAAATCTCTACATTTTTGGAAATACACTTAGAACTCAATCCAAATATTACATAATCATTAGAATCTAGTATATTCCAGAACGAATCAATTAGAATATTTTTAAACATGTTTTCATTCCATGTTCTGCCCCGCCAAGTATAGCCACCTTAATTATGCGCATTTTCATAAAAATATAATATATCCGCGTAAAAAAAACTAAATTATGAAACTCGTGAAAATTGTAAATCAAAGAATGGCGCGATGTAAGAAATGTACTACTTAATTAGCGACCGCTGTCAAATTAAGCGATAATTTTTCAGGCACACTTAGGAGTGTGATTTTTCCGCAAGTACTTACCTACTAAAATATGTAATCTTAATCGTGTAATGTATATTTTTGGACAGATTGACTGTCGCAGTTAGTCTCATGTTCAAGGTCGTCTATTTTACCTGTACTTCATACTTATTAATACTTATACTACATAGTAAAAAGTTGGTAAAACCTACTGGAGAAAGTCATTTCTCTGTATTTTTGTACTGAGAACACTGCGAACCTACCAACACGCAGATAAATCTGACATTTTAACAATGAAAATATCTTATGTCTTCCCACCGTATTTCAACTAAAGCGTCTAATTATGGCATAATATGTATATAATCTACATTCTAACGTTTTAATAATAAAAATCAAAGATTAACTAAAATCAAAAGTCATAGAACATTTAGAATAACAACTGCACTTTTTTAATTTGGACGTTTCGCCTTTTATTAAATAAAACACATAAAATGACCTATTTACAATTACTTATATAATATAAATTTTAACATTCACTCATTAAGTAAGGCATAGAAGATATTAGATAATATCTATATATAATATATATAATATATGATATTATATTTAAAAAAAAACAACTAAAATAAAACTTACATTTTAGTTCATAATAAACTTTGTACATTTCACTTACAAAAATAAAAAAATATATCTACTTACTTCATGATTAGGTTTAATTAAACTTGGTTATAAATTAATCCGGTCAAGTTAACCCGAAAAATAGCGGTAGGTTAACAAAAATTCGCATAGAGCTGAAAATTGGTGCGAATGTTCGGAACACCACTATAAATGAAATGTAAAAAGGCCCCATCGATCTCTAGTAAAAACTATGTAAGAAGTACTCTAGTAATGCGGTTCCCAATTTTTTCTGGCCACGGAACCCTAATTGATCATATTTCATAATGGACCCCCATTTTAACAATAACTGAACTGATTGTGTTTTTATTACAATAAAGAACTAATCATAAATGAAAAATAATAATACTTATAATCATATTTATTGTACCAAAAATATAACCTATTTAATGTGATGAATGAAATGTTTCCACATATTTATTTATAATAACATTAAAATTAGACTTCATGTCTGACAACGTTTTTTTTACCCTCTGACCCTTTCATGGAACCCTAGGGTTCTTCGAACATTTGGGAACCGCTGCTCTAGTAGTATCAAAACAACAAGGATGCGCTGTCACTGAGCTTTTTGTTAGGTTCATGGGGCTTTAGTTTGATCTCAATCGATCTAGTCGAGATTTTGATTTGCAGCCTCTAGTTTATGGAAGTCTATCGGTTTCTTAGCACTATCCGTTTTCGTTTGTGGTGATTTACGGTATATTTAAAAAAAAATCTCAGTTTAGTAATTATTTGTAATTATTTCAAAATTTTAAAACCTTAAAAATTGAAAATTTTTGTTTGAAACGAGCAACATTCCTTCTTCAAATACACAATTTCAAATTTGACGTACCTACACTAGTTTTTAGTCAGATCACATAGGTATAAGGCAAAGACTAAGATGTAACTTTGTGTGGCTGTATCGACTTAGAAACTATACTTTGAATTTCATATAAAAATCTGTACATACAAAGTTCTGAGCATTCATCACAGTTATAACTAAATATATTAATACATATAGACACCAAACACTATAGAATGACACAAAATAGTGTCACTTCTAAATAAATCCTCTGCATAATCATCAGTTTCAGGGTCCCAAATACATCTGAGCCCTGCTACTATACCCGCTCCTTTCATCTCTAATATTGTAGTTTGAACTAATATTTTGTACCTGGAATAAAATTAAAATTATCCTATTAATACTTTCTTAAAAAAAATATGTGCAGTATTAAAATCAACCAAAAATTGTAAGGTACTTTGGTGTCATTCAAGAAATCATTTTTGTAAAATTGTGGGTAGGCACCAGGGTTGTCAGATACACTGTAATTACATCAGATCTGCCGTATTTTCACGTCGTCTACTGGACACCGAATTTTTATAAATGCAGTGTATGGAAACACAGTATTTTTTTAAATTATTTGCTAACAAATAATAAATGAAATAAGTCACTTTAAAAATTAAAATGAACGCTTCTTATAAAAATATCGTAAATTATGAATGCGGCGGGCAACCTCACAACACAGGAGGGAGTAGGCCAGGCACTGTCTGGAACAAGTATATACTGCTTTTGAGACGTCTGATTGTATAAAACCTTAGTCTCTCCCGTGACCATGATTGTTGTAAAGCATTCGAAACGTCGGGAACCAAAAATCTAAATAAATCCGCGAAATAATCCGAAAAGATACTTCTATTATCCTATTAATTTTCATTCAACACAAAAGTAACTCTTTTTAATATTCGATTGAAAGGACATTGAACCCATTATCCATTATCAAACAAGATAATCTCTATAATTTTAGTACACAGCAAAAAACAATATTGAGTATGGTAATTACATTCACAACTATCTAGTGCTTGTGGTTTTGCTCTCATATAAATATGAGTCTATAAAAAAACATGACCCCTTTAGTTTAGTAAAGCTAACTAGAGAATGTAGGTGGAAGAAATATTGCTCAAGTTGTATATTTGAAACAGCTTGACATAAAAGTGTGAGCACAATACTTACTGTGCCAGCAGTCGCGAGTTCGAGTCCCGCTAGGGGCATTGATTTGTGTGATGAGCATGAATGTTTGTACTCCAATACGCATACACAAGTGTTTATATTTATAATATGTATGGATTTAAAGTTATATATGTGTAGTGAATCAACTGTCTGGTATCCATAGCACAAGCCTTGTAACTCACCATGGAACTAGATGGTACTGTGTGTTGTCTCAACATATTTATATTTACTCTAAAAATATTTTCTTACCTCTTCATTTCAAGACCTTGTACTCTTTGTCTAATTGCATTAGATATTACTTTCGCCCAACGCGGTGCTTGATCTGCTTTATACTGTCTCCCTAACAGCTGCTCTTGCATAGATGATAATATTATCTCTCGCACATTTTGACTCTGAAACCTGATATTTATTTGAATTAAATAATGATCTTGTGAAATAAATAACAATATATATTGCAGATTAAATATTTTGGAAAGACAAATTTTAAGGGTGGAAAAATAATTAAATTGGGTTCTGCTTTATTATTCTTAAAAAAAAATATAAAATAATTACAGCACTCAGAATTAAAAAAAAACAATATTTAATATGCTCCTTAGAATTAATAAATAATGTTTGCAATATATAATTATACACTATATACATACTATATCCGTAAATAATATATTTTTTAGATAATATTTAGTTGTTATATTTAAAAACATAAATATATATGTATATTCAAACTATTTTTCTAACAAAGTTCTCAAATTGTTTCTACTTTTACATTGATTATAGAAACATACTTTTCTCCAAGTCCTGGTCTAACTTCAAACTTGGGTGGTGCAAGAGGTTTCTCAGCTTCTACTGGACTTAGTCCAGTCTCACTTTCTGCACTGCCAACTTGTAAAACTTCAGGCTCTTCCTCTACAACTGGAAAAATATAAGTTGTTACAGTACATAGAAGCCACCCAATCAGAAATAAATATTACCTATATTAATTAAACTTAGATATTATTATAAAATTAATATAATAGATTTATGATCAACATAGTACCTATGGTGTAAAAAATATCCAAAGTATCAATGTCAATCAATGAGTATATACTACAGTATTATAAAAATAAAATCTTACCTTCTTCATCATCAGCCATCTTAATCTCGGGCCTAAAGCCATTCACTATCTAAAAAGAGCAAAAACAATTTTCCTATATTAGTCTTTTTTATTTTCATTTAGGACACAGAGATGATGTATAAACTTGGACGTGCAGCAATGGAAGAAGGCAAATATGGAGAAGCTATGAAAAAATTCATAGAAATGCTAAAACTGTATGATGCAACTCTAGCTCCACCATATCGCTCGTACTATGATTGTATCCAAGATTTGCGACGCTGCATGTTGGCTCTGGGAAACTATAACATTGTTTAAGATTTATTGCTTAACTAAACTAATGTTGTGTGTTATTCTAAACATTTATACAATAATAAAAAATAAATATGAATTGACGTTTATGTTTTGTAAATTATATAATTAAGGGAACCTAAGGATATATACATTATAAAATCTACACAAATGTATACTAATTACTAAGTAGGCCTCATAATTTTAGTACCTACATTTCTAGATCATAGATGTTTACTTATTTAATAAAAAAATAAGACAGTTATTGACTTTAAATAAAATAAAAAGAACTACATAATATAATTCAGATGAAATTCACAATATCGATTACATAAAAAAATATATTTTACAGAAATATCTATTTAGAAGTAGCATTTGAATTTCTAAATTTTGAATATTCACCTATTGCAATTTGCAATACATTTTAAATCTTCAATGTTTACTATTATGTAATTTTTATTTCACATGTAGAAAGAAGCATTTTAAAGGTCAATCATAATAACAGATTTAAGTAATATTTATAAAATATAAAATTTATTTAATAGTTCAGTTCTTTGCTTTAATGGCTTATTTAATAATACAATTTATAAACTAAATTTATAACGTACCTCACTCAGCTCACTGAAAGCTTTTCGTTGCTATGGTAACGGTAATCACAGAACTTAAACTCATACACCGTAGCGGAGATGGTAACCATGGATAACAAATGGTAACAATCATGGATGACAAGTAACAATAGTTGTCAACATGGATGACAAATAAAAGTTGTCAACTACGAATAGCAACTTATTATAGATAAAATATTGTACACATTTTTTTATTTCAGTACCTTAAAGTTTATACACTTATATTAATACTTTAATAATAAAACGTGCGTTTTTTATTTCATATCCGTCAATATTTCTGATAACAGAACTGCATGTACTGAAACGTTAAATTTAACAGATAAAACAGTTTTGTTTGGAAAGCAACCGTTTCGACATATGTCATGAGTTTCACGCTTAATTTTGGATCGAAAAACATAAAAATAAAAAATTGAATTAAAACAAGTAATAAATTTAAATCACTAAGAAAACAATGGCCACATACGATAATAAAGCGTGGCTCTTAAAAAATGTACGCGATGCCTTCATTGCTACTGATGATACCGGTCTTTGTGAAATTGTTATGGCAGGTGAAGATTTCTCAAAAATATTTCAAAATAAAGCTATGGAAGAGAAAAAACGAGAACGTGATAAGACTTTATATTTACCTAGCACTAGTAAAGAAAAAGAATCCGGCACAGATGACGAAGAGGACAAAGAAGTCGTGACTCAATTCGATCCATATCCTGATATGGAAGACAGTGATGAAGATGAACCATGCCCTAGTTACCCACGCTTTCCAGATGATATGGCTCACAGGTTAATATAATTACAAAACATTGTTCTTTAAGTGACCTAAATTCTTTTAAGCATAAACAATTATATATTGTTTGTGTATTACATTATTATGTTTAATTAAACCTTCAATTAAAATTTAATTTTTTAACAAATATAATATTATTTTAAGATATTTAATATATTAATATGAATATTTAACCTTTTATTAGATAACAGTAGTCTTTAAAAATAAAATAGCTCAAGTAGCTAATGTTTTATCCTGAATAAAACAATAGAAATTAAAAATTAACCATATTGAATTTAATTATAAATACTTTAGATTACATATAATATTCTATATAATTTTAAATTCTATATATCAAATATGTTACCTATTTTTCAAATTTGATATGGCATTTGTGCAGGCAAAGATCAAACACAGCGCAGTGGTTAGATAAGAAAGAACTAGCTTTAAAAAAGGCAGCTAAAATTAAAGTAATCAAATGGGAGGATCCAACAACAAAACTTACACTTGAACAATTGGCTGAAGCTTTTGCAAGAGTTGAAGTAAAAAAACCTGAAAAGAAAAAATCCTTATTAACAGAGCAGTTGGAGAAATGTCCAGACCTTCCCCATCGTCAATATCTGGAGTATGCAAAGTTTGATGGCACAGCACAATTAGGACTTCCAACTAAGTCGTTTAAGATTTTCATGACCATGCTCTCAGAAAAACATCAGAACTATCCATTAATTGTGTGTGTTATTGCAAATGCAAAGATAAAAGATCTAATAGGTTTTACGTGCTATAAATACAGGTATGTAATTTTATTTGAACAAAAAATATTTTGTTCCTTTTATTTATTTTTATAAAAAACTAAGTTCCTGCCCACAACATTGTTAATAAAAAGTGCATCTTTTTTCAATGTTCTTGGGTTAACACCATATAAGTTAAGTTTCCCATAGAAGTATAGTACTGGGTAAAAATATCCTATCTGATGGTTCAAGGCATGTGTTCCAATTATATTTATTCAATGCTTTACAACTTATTAAATAACATGCACCCAAATATCTTTATGAAATTATACCACCAAATATACTTAGGTTTTTATATTTATATTTTTCATAGAGTTTTTTGTATTAAAATCACTCACAAAACCATAATATACATAATATTATATGGTTATCATAAGAATTACTATGTGGCAACTACCATGTAATTTTAAACTAAACTATCTTTTCAAAAATTTTAGCAGATTTATTTTTATTTTTTATATTTTTGGATATATTTTTATTTTTTCCCTACGTTTCGAATGCTTTACAGCAATCATGGCCACGGGAGAATCTCTCCCGAATCTCCAAATCCACAAAAAAATCCGAAAAGATAGTTTTATTTAAAATGTCAAATATTCGCATAAATCTAATTAAGTATTACCATGTAATTGTTCCAAATTTAAAATAAAACATATTTTCAGCATAGACCATCCTGAGATAACTCTTGGATCAGTGCATGAGTATGGACTTTGTATAGCAGAAGACGATGGGGAAGTTGACTGGGCATTCCCTTGTCTTGACAACAATGAACCTTGCTCTAAATTTGGATTCACTTGCCTTGGACTGATAGATTTGAAGAAAAAAGATAATATAATTGTATCAACACCAATCCCAGATTTTGAAATGAGCTCAGCATTCCATTGTTTTCCTAAAGCCTCAGTATCTGGACAGAGCCATGTGAATACATCCAGACAACATACAGGCAATAGCGACACATCGGAAATAATAAGAGCCATGAACACAGTCAATGAAGGTACTGTAATGGTTATGTATAACTACTTTTATCTAAAGTTTTAAAAACTCAGAACTTATAAGCTTTAATAAAATTAGGAACTGATTTTTTTTATATTATTTTCTCATAACAGCAAAATCGAAATTTGCTAAACATTATCTGAGTATGTATAAGCAATTCAAATTAATTACGAATTAAGCAATAGTTTCCATAATTGGATTAAATAGGATTTAGAACACATTACCTTAAAAACTAAATTTAATTTAGAATATATTTTGATTTATTACAATCTGTACAAACTTTTCTTGTAATTGGGAAGTTATAATTACAATGCAGGTTATCCAAGAATGAAGCATCAGGATTATTTTCTATAAAACTATCTTTTCTAATTTTTTCATGGATTTATTTTGATTTTTGGTTCCTGGAAAAGTTACAAATGCTTTACAGCAATCATGGTCCTGGGAGAGACTAAGGTTGTAGACATCTAAAATTCATATATGTTACAGACAGCTTTAATTTAAATATATCCACTAAAAATCCAAAAAAAATCGTATCCGAAAAGTTATTAAATCTGTTACTAGTGTATATTCAATGATATATTTTTTTCCCTAACAGGTAACAAAAGTTTTGGACTCCAATCAAGTGCAGTAACTGATGCTTCTCAAGAGAAATTATACCGAGTGCAATTGCTACATAAAGTGCGTGCCAACACACCGGTCCAGTTGTGCATAACACTAGACACTATAGAGGTGGTGCCACTTGTTACAAATAAACATGCATTCTGGGTATGTGCTATTATAGTAATTTTTTATAGCTTTTGGTTTGGATTCAAACAGGTCCACAGCACAATTTTTACATTTGACCATACATAATTTTTTGTTAATATATTGATATCATTTAGGGGGCCATTACTTAATTACGTAAGGACAATTTTGGCCATTTTTAGCACATAACAAGAAAGAAAGGAACTTTTTCCCCTGTCTTTATTTCTTGTATAGAATGAAATGCATCATTCTGGATATAAGAAATTTTTTTGATCAAAATGATACTTACCCTTTAAAATACAAAATTAATTTTATCTGTAATTTATACCTGCACTAAATTCTTGTATTTTGTGAAAAATAAAATTGTAAATTAATAAAAACTAACTGAAATAAAAATTAGTAGTCAAATCATGTTTTTGGGTCACATCTCCTTAATAAAATAAATCTAATTATTTTACACATATCAATATCCTTGCATAATTCCTGTTTTGATTTATAATACGAAATATATGTATATCTTCTTTCAGGCTCGGCCAAAATATTTCTTGCACAGCATGAACTCAGTGGCATGGTGTCAAATACTAGAGGCAAAGAGTAATAAAACTACCTTCAGAATAGTCTATTCGCCAAACCATGATAGTACATTTACTGATAGAAACGCTCCAGGTAATTAAAATTATTTAACTATTCCTTACTTCCAAAGGCTGCCTGGAAGGTATCTCTTATAGAGAAGAGTCTATTTTTGACCATATTAAGCTCTATATTACTTTTGTAAGTTTTATATTAAAAAAGTGTGTGTGTGTTCTATTCACATATGGTAGAAGTGAAACTTGATATTATATATTTGTCAGACAACAACAATGGTTACCATGGCAACATGGCAATGTATTCTATCTCATTCCCTCGTCGGTTTACTCCTATATATTTATGTGTTTGTCTCTTTCTTGTGCTGCATTTTCGTTTCATCGAGTTTCAAATCACAATGATTCTAAAGAAGTTCAACTTAAATTTATTGATATTTAATGTAGTAATTTTTTTTCCAGCCAATGTCAATCTATATTATCCAAACATAGTGTATAAGAAACACGATTTTGAAACTGAGCACGAAACAGCCAGAAAAATTGTCGAGAAAGTGAACACAATCCTCGATCTACGAAACAGTCCGTGTCGCCGAGAATACAAGACTGTCAAAGAAAAAAAACTCCAATCGAGAAGAAGTTTCCACACAAAGCACTTGAGTTGAGTTGCGGTGTTCTTATTGTATAAAATAAGCTGATAGTTCCTGAACGTTCTTTTTTTACGACTGATATATGAGGTACATGTAAAGTTGATCGATTCCGGTAAGCTTAGAATTATTTTTATCCAACTATATATTAAAAACAATAAGTAGTTTAATTTTAATTGTGATACTTGTTTTGTTTTCAGTTTTGTTTAACAAATCAACTTTAGACAATTATAATATGTCCGATAAATTGCAGAATGTTGGTATTTAGTATTTTTTTACAATTACTTTATTGGACACTGTGTGAAAGGATAAAATCTGTGACGTTTATTAAAACATCACAATTCTTAACAATTGTATATTTTTATGGTAACTAATTTTTTTTTGTAATTTGTGTTTTAGTTGATTTAGTTAAACGCTTTAGTATTTGACAAATAAGTATCACAAATTCTATTAAACTGAATTGGTGATGATAACCTTAAATTATTGTAATATAAAACTTAAATCAGTATCACTCAAGACAAACTAGTCAATAAATTATTATTAAATAAATATACTTAAAATTTCTTCAACTAAGCCGTACCTCTAGTTAGCTATGTAATAGTGTTGTATATACTTGTATAGTAATCATTGCTGCCAGAAGAAATTAGTAACTGCCATAAATTTGTGTGCGTTATGCGTTATAACTATGGAGGTTAAAGGTAAGGGGAACTAGCTCAGTGATGAAAAGGTGTCCGTCGAAAAGCGTTAAATTAGGATGGCGCTACTGTAGCAAGTGGGTAAATATAAAAAAAAAGCGCCAACGTAATTTTAGTAGAATTACATTATCTCACAGCAGTTTATTAGGTTATATTTAGTAACTTATTTTGGACTGAGTAAATAGATGAGGTTTTGCATACTGCAATTTCTTTAACTTGCTAGTCATCCAAAAATATTAGATTTTTGAACTCTGCAAATCTCACTCTGTCTATAACTGCCAAATACCATACCCTGCATCTACGCTAGCGCTATTCTGAAAGGTTTTTGAACTGTTATTTATCGCTTACAGGTGCACACTTTATCATTTTGTTTCCTATATAAGATGGTTCTCCTTATTTCTACCCTCCATGGTTATAACCATCTTTACTATTATTTTAAACTAAAAATTGTAAAATAAATATTGTCTATATGATGTTACATCATGTGTCATAGCCAATATTTTTTATTGTAAAATATAATTTTGACTCTACCTGTTAACCACTAAACTGTCGCTGTCATTTTGCGCGAATATGGCGAATCCGTCGGCTACTTTCCGAGGGCCTCGCGCGAAATATTCACACATTATTAAAATGACAATATTTCTTAAAATTTTGTATGAAAGCTATTTATAAACCTTATGTCGTTGGGATCATTTTGAAATAAACTAAAAGAATATATATAAGTCCGATTGTATTCAATAATATATAGTTAATTCTAAGTTGAAATTACAGTAAGTAATTTTTTTCCAGTTTATGGTATGAAAACAGAAGTTATTACAAAATAAACCTATTATTTCAAAAAGTTTTTAATTTTATTTAATTATGGATACAATATTTTATGTTTATTGATTAAAACACTATAACTCACCGTAAATTTTTTACACCACAAGCTTTACAAAAACATTTCTCAATCATTGCGACCTAAGCGTCAGATAAAAAATAGGTATACTTTATACTTGAATTTTGAGAGCATTTAAGACTAAGAGATTTAACATAGTTTTTTACATTATAGTTAATTCCACGCGCATAATATTGACATAGTTTTAGTTTTTAAAACTAATTAGTTTACGAGAATTAAACAACAAACCAAACACTTGAAATTAAGTGCTAAAAACGTCACCTCAAGTTTTGGATCGCGAGACAAGTTATGTTTCATTTTTCATAAAAATATTTTTACATTTTACAATTTGGCGACATTTAATAATAGAAAAATACAATAAAAAGCCATGTTGCCTTAGTATAATCATGGGGTCTCATCACGACAAAGAACTAATTTAGTTCAAATAAATGTCAATAGATGACGTTACATGTATCGATTTGTTATTAGTTGCGTTAATTTAACAAAAGATAAAAAATAGATCCAAAAATTGTATTGTTTTAAAAAATATTCTTAATTTATGGAAACGAAATAACGCGCCCATAAATCAAATTTGCGTAATTTTACTGATTATTAAAATATCAGCAATCAGGTGGTGGGTTTGTAGTGTATATTCACAGATGGCGCTTTTGCTTTTTATGAATTGTTTATCACGGTAAAAATTTGTTAGAATCACTGTTTTTTTTATTCGAAAGCAAGAGGAATTTTACAATATTTACTATATGTTAGTTTGCATATACTATTTATAAAATAAAACAGTTTAACTATTTTTGAATTAACGACATCTATTAACTATTCAAGCAAACGAAAATAGCCCGAATTAGAACTGTTCAATTTCTTTGTATGGGATGAGGCATCTGTACTAGTACAGTACTATGTGATTTGTGCTAGAATATTTCAGCAATCAATTACGAAGGTCAGTACCTCATTCAACAATTTAAAGAATGTTTTGATATAATAAACTTAATCATAGAAATATTTTCCATTGTTTGAAATCTTGCAATCTTACAAAGAATTATATCCTACATTACATTATGTACTCATTTCGCTTGATGCAGTTTTATGTTTAGGAGAATTAGGATATTTGTTTAAACAACATCAAGTTTAATTTATAATGTATATACTTTATAATATAGTTTTTGTGATTACTTAAATCCATACTAATATTATGAATGTGAAAATTGTGTGTTTTTCTTTCGCGTCAAAACTGTTTTTTGTGTAGAGATAGTTGAGAGTGCTGGAGAGTGATATAGGGTACTTTTTACTGCAGGAGATTATCTCATTCCCATGGGAAAACACGTTATAATACAACCCAAAAAAATATTTATGATCAAAATTACTTGAAAGTTAGTATTAATTCTCTTCGATACAATTAAATTAATGTTTTAGCATTTTTCGAAATTCATCCCATAAGAGGGTAAAATAGGGGATGAAAGTTTGTATGAAACCCACCATTTTAGTCTTTTTTATAGTTTTAGCGCGAGCGAAGCCGCGGGTTCTGCTTGTATTATTTATAAATAAAACACTATATTAGTATTATCATATGTTTATTATTTACACCATACAGAATACTATGTACAAAATTTGTACACATTTCTACTTACAAATTTTAAGGAGAGGTATTTACAACATGGTCAAAGAAAATATATTTTTGTATTCATTTGAAGATAGAATGGAATTCTCAAAATTCATAAATTTAAATAAAATGAATACCATGAACTAATAAAAATAAAACAAAAGCATCATAGTGTACAATAATGTGGTCTAACAATAAAACTTTTTCAAGTTCTTTTCATATTTTAGATATTTAAATGTAAAGTATTTTTACCAAAATGTATACATATATTAAGGTATCTCCTTTCCGTACTTTGAAAATCTTAAAAATATTTCAAAATTTACTAAGTAAAAATATTTAATCTACACTTAATAAATATCAATATGACAATTTCAAATGTGTTAAATGAATGGCACTCATATTAAGAAGTTCATTTGTCTTAACTAAATTATTTACAAATATATTAATAAAAACTAATTTCTAGCTCACAATGAGCAGGAAATATATAATTGAATTTGCACAACATTTTTTGGTAATAATCCTATTAAAATGTACAAAATCATATACAGCTATAATATAACTGGTGTATACTTAGTATTCTTCAGTCTATTGTACTATTTTCTAAGATGAAATCTGTCACTTCATTTACCTTCTGTTCACAGTGACTTAATAACACATTATCAAGTTCAATCGCTTTCTTATATAACTCTTGAGTTTCTTTCACACTATTTTGTAACTTCAGCTGGCTATCCACAAGTTTTGAAATATTTACCTTGGCTTTCAAAAATTCTATATCTTCATTTGATAATGATGAATATGATAACCTGGACCGGCTTGGTGCCTTTGTTGTCATTTGGTACTGTCTGCAAAATAAATATAATATTATAATATACTCATGTTACTATAACATGAGTATAATAATAACATGATAGTATGTATATATTGTAAAATACATTAAATAATTATTTGTTACACTCACTGTCTCAGGTCGTGATATTTATTTCGTCTATTCTTGACTTCAGTTTTCCATTGCTCCTTTTCAACCAAAAGTTTATCATGATATCTAAAATGATTTTTGATTAAAAATATAATTTGAATTTATATTTTTTAAATAATATAAATATTAAAAATTTTAAAAATACACGTACTTTATAAGATCTTCGTTATTTTTTACATCCACATCGTTCAATTTCTTACAGACATTTGGATCAGTGTTTTCACAGTATGTCTGGGGAGCTGAAATAAAAAGAATAAACATGAAAAAATAAGTATTATAATTATTATATTAATTGGACAAGATCTGTAACTCAAAAGATAGAAGATAATATTGAATGTATTTAACACTAATATACTTTTCGATGCCATACCAATTGAATCACGTCTTTCGAAAAATGTTGAACGCCTCCGCCTTGGTGGTGACTTAAATGACTGGTTTGCATCATTTTCGTTAGTTGTATTTTCCATTATAGAACAACCTTAATTAATGTAACAGATTATTTCTATAAACATGCAGAGAATACCTAAAAATCTAAAATTTCAAATTTACAAAACAAACTGACGTTAAACGGACGCCACATTTGACATTAGAAAATCGGATACTCGTAACTCGTACGTCTTATGATGATTGATGATTAGTTACGAGCTTCCCTAATAATGAATTTATTTATGTTACTCATAAATTAATAGCGGGCAATTATTATACTCATTAAAAATTATCATAATTGTCAATTAAGTTTCTAAAAAACAAATGCCTAACTACACTGAAAAATATCGTTCATAATAATAAGCCACGGCTGATAACGGAAGATTTAATAGTGCATGTAAATCACACTATAGGTTCTGAAAAAAACACTAAAGGTTCTTCGAGGCCCAGAAGCTTTCCAATTCCGGGCTTTTTAATTTTCTGGTAATGCAGAATGTAAGGAATTATTGAAAATATCACACTATTTATATAATATATATTATTTCATTTATTCCATTAGATAATCTTAGAAGATTTTTAATTAATATATTTTTATTTTTAATAATTTATCAATCTTCACCATGTTGCTCGCATTATAATTATTATAATAGCTAAAATGTTAACAGCCAGTCCCTATAATGAAATATAGATGATAATACTTTTAAATGGATCTTTTGATATTTATTCACTAATAATCTGCCTTTGGAGTTTGGGCAGTCTCAGTTGTGGGGTAAATAGGGAGAAAAGGTGTCAAATATTGTACAGAAGAGTAGGTTAGTCTGACGAAATCAGATTAGGCTGTCAATAATAAACTGCACAACTTTGGGACCAGATTTGTGTATATACCTGATATGTTTGAATAACAAGTATTTGAGAACCTATTGTTCTACTGAACAAAATAGTGAGGAGAACGGGGATTTCGAGTAATATTGTTAACAAAATTATATAGGTACCTGTGTTGTAACATTTTTACATTAACGGTTTGCATTTTGCGTAATCTCGTATTACCTATAGTCTTAGTAAGTTGTTAATTTTCTTGGTATTGAATTCAGTTACATGATTTTTTGGTAAAATTTTGTTATTTTTTTTATGACATAAACGTATTCTTCGTAAAAAGGACTTGATTCACAATTTGACAACTTTGACGTTTCTTTGCTCCGATTATAAAATACAACAGTGATCACTATTCCATCGGTAAATATAAGTACATCTATCTACCGCATTGAGTTTTAAATCGTGTCTTTTTCTTTACTTTTGATAAAATATTTGATTGTTAAAATGTTTTGTTCTCGTAAGAGAACCTAAACACCGATGGGTAAGGGAAAACTATGTTTTAGTTAGTATGGTATAGGTTTTATTAGTTATACATAATACATTAGTGTTTGTAATGTGTCCGTGGTGTTTTTCAACAGAATACAGTGATGGAGTTCAATGGATGTCATATAAATGAGGTTTCGGACCCGGTAGACATTGAGATTTATTCTGATCGATCTCAGACCCCTAGCCCGACGCCTGTGTTATCAACAAATGTGTGCTGCGATCTAGAAGACATATTGAGCGACGTACGTAAAAGCACAAACAATTCTCACACAGCTTTTCTTATTGCTATATACACTACAAAGACCTTGAATTGGCTTTTTATTCCAGAATCAATATACATTTAGTGCATGGATTTTTTTATGTATGACTGATACTATAATATCACTAAGAATTGTTTCAATTGTATAAATACTAAGTAGTGTACCTAATATCACATAAAAATGATCTATTAATAACTATTCCATATTTGACAAACATTTTCATATAAAATAATTAGGACATGAAATGTAATATTGTATATTGTATTATAAATTTACTTTAATCAAAACATTCAATATGAAATTATTAGTGCTCACACCTTTACTGATAAAGTTACATTAACAATTTTCTCTAGTATTGGACACTCGAAGCTGAACTGTGTTGCAACTAGACTATAACACATTAGGCAATAAAATTGTCATAATATTTCTGTTACACAAATTTATTTTACTTAATTGTCATTTAATTTTTATGATTAATATGATGTATAATATGAAATATCTTTAATGATAAAATGTTAGTTAATAAGAATTTTTCTTGAGTAGTATAACCAATGTTTTAAATTAACACATAATTATCATTCTTTCAGGCTATATCTGAATCTCTCCAAAACTCTCTTAGAATAAGTCGCAGTCAGCTGATTAATCAAGAATTAACAATACGTCCAGAGGCTAACATTGAATCCAACGTCCCTGAAGGCTTGGACCTTTATAAAGTTATATTTGAAGTAGAAAGTGATACAGATTTAAAAATGGGTGACATGGAGGGCACTAGTCACAATAATACAATTAAGAATGAGGTTAGTACACCTTATTATTTTTATTTTATATTATCTTGGTCAAAGGACAAAAGGAAATTAGAATATAATTTAGTTAGCTTAGCAGGAAATCGAAGATAATAAATATTAAATATAATAATACATTCATCAAAATGAAATAAACTAGGGTGGACCACCCTTATCATCTAGGTATATACACCCTATTCTCAAATTTACTGAATATACACACAAAATTTCATAAAAATCGCTCAAGACGTTTCGGAGGAGTTTTGTTACAAACATTGTGACACAAGAACTTTATATCTTTTATCCACCAAAATTGAAGGGGCTTCTCATAAAAAAATAATAATATACATGTTACTAAACAACATTATAACTAAGAGTCATTTATTGTGCTCCATTCATACATATGTAATGAATTTATATACATTGATCCAATTTCAAGCAAAATGGAGGTTGGCAAATGATTGTAGTTTGAATTTGATTACCCAATTAAAATTATACATATGTTAGAATAGTCAAAAAATAATGCTTATTTCTGATTTTAAACACTTTTGTTTTCTTTTGTTCTCACCATTTACTTATTTGTTATTAGCTATTGAGATGTAATATAATGCTTTTACTTTTTAAAGAAACCATATTCAAGGCTTTAATAAGATTTTATATTGTCTTATTCTGGCTTGTTAAGTTTTCTATCTAATCTACTAATATAATACTAATTTTTGAATACAATATTAAAGTTTTACAGGATTTTAATATTTTCAATACGTATGATAGACAACATTTTACTCTCTAGTATCCACCTATTTTTAACATACAATATATTAGTTTCCCATATCAATTATATATATATATATATATATATTTATATATATATATATATTAAAAAATGATTTGTCTCTGCTTATGCGAAAATCACATAGATTTTTCACAGTATATTTTTTTAATTTTTTCATTTAATTAGTAATAACAAAATATTGAAAGGTTTATTCATTCACTAGCATTGCCAGCGGCTCCGCCCGCGTCAAGATGATCAAAAACCAAATTCTTAGGTTTTACAGATTAGTATACTCTTACATTGCAGTTTTTGCAGATTTTTGCAGATTGAGATATTTTCCCGTGGAAAAAGTAATCTATATGTTGACCCAGATAACCAGCTATCATCATACCAAATTTCATCAAAATCCTTCCAGTAGTTTTTCCGTGATGTGGTTTCAGACAGACAGACAGACAAAAATTTTAAAAACTATAGATTCGGCCTCTGTATTGGTAATAATGGCTATTTCAATTAGATTTTCCAAAAAATATATAATGTACAGATTTGGCTCAGTTACAATTTTATTATATGTATAGATTACACTGACTGGCTTATATGACATTAGTAACATGAATGTATTTGCTTTTGAAAAAATTGCATTTTATTAATAATGTAAAAATTTATTTCAAAATTCCAAAATTTTTATTAGGTTAACTTTGCGTTGACGCGACAGTTGGTTCATCGAACTTTCGAACAGGTTAAAATTAAAGTCATGGAGACAATATAGTGTAATGTTAAAGCATATATTGTGGTCACCATTCATGTTTATTTGACCGTAAACTGGATAACTGGGGCGTCAATTCCCGCGGTAAATTGGCTAATACATGACAATATTGGATAAGAGGATGCAGCTTTGACTTATATGTATATACTTTAAACTGTATCGGATGGTTCAACCATAAAATTTATTATATTTTACAATTTGAAAACAAATGAAAAATATTTTTATCTGGTAACTCTTATCACTTATTGTTTAAAATTTACGGACCATATTGTAAAGATTATATTCAAATAATTTACCTCTATGTAAAAAAACTTCTGACGGAGCAATACAATTTCGAATATATAATAGAAATACAAAAAGAGACTGTTGATTTGCAAACTGTCTATCTCATATATATTTCTTTTATTAACCGAGGTCTATAAAGAAAAATATATTTTTCATCATAAATATATTTTTGTTGTGAGGTTGTCTCATAAAATATTATTTGACATAGAGTATACCGTTTGCGAGACAGTCAGAAAAATCCATGTAAATAGATCTAAATAGTCTTTTTACCTGCTTCTAAATGCCATATTGACTTAAAACTTTGCATGTTTGTATTTCCAATGATATCAACAGTACAGTAATTTCGTATCATCGAGTTTATCTGATGGTGATGCCAGAAAGAAGGTAAATATTGGGACTCTTTAACGGCTACTGGTAACTTTGAGTATTTGTTTTTTTGCCCAATTAGTGACACTAATAATAGCGAATTTTTTTAGTTTGTTAGTTTTCATATAAATATTGGCATTAAACTAACTGAAATGGCTTTTGCGGGTATTTTATTCAAATATTTTAACATGAATAATCAAGCGATACATGTATCGCCATCTACTGACACTTATTAACCTATCCTTGTCCTTGACTCAAGTAACAAGTAAAAATGAAATAATAATATTAGGTCATCCAAAATATCGATGTCAATATAATTAACGCGCCTATTTTTGATGTGTTAATATTATAAATCAAATCTTTTATCTAAAGATAACAAAATTGATAAAAAAAATACATTAAAGATAATCCTCACAGGATTATAATGTTCTATCTTTTTTTGCAAGAGGTCTGTCTAATCAGAGACTAGGTACATAAAGGACTAGGTACACTATCATTAAAATTTGTCAAAATGTGTTGTATTTATAAATAAATATTATGATTACGATCCTCGCTATATTCTAATATCAATAATAGGTTACATTTAATCAGGAATTAAATTGAACATGTTACGCATTGTTGAGTAAAAGAATTGTGTAATGACTTATCAAGTGTAATCATTTTAGGTCGAATGACTAAGCTCGCAATAGAGTACATGTTTTGAATTTCAACTCTAATTAAAAATAATTGTATCAGAATTACGAGCTCATTTTAGTTATATGTAATTAAATACATTTATTTTAAATACCTAGTCCTTTTCACCCAAATGTCATAGATTGGCACAAGTGCATTTGGTGGGTTTCTCACAAATTATCTATATTTTTGTCTTGAACAGATTGAGGTTAATATTTGTATGATCATTTCAATTAATAGGTTTTTGTAGGTAGAGAACTCGCTACCTCCAGCGCAATAGGCTGTGTCACCATAATGGTTCACAGTCACATTTAAAATGTTTCGTTTTCATTATAAAAAATCAATCAAGAAGATTGTAATTGTTATGCAAATTATTATTTCTATATATATACAATAGGTAGTTAATACAACAAGGAAATTGAAAGAATAGGTCGCTAGAGAAAAATATGTATGTAGGTACTAACTACTAAGTGTATTTGTAGCCGCAGGTTTAAGTAAAACAAACTATTAATCTACTAGCAGAACCGCGGCTTCGCTCGCACTAAAACTACAGAAAATTCTATAAAAAATTTGGTTTCATACAAACTTTCATCCTCTATTTTGCCCCCTTATAGGATGAACTTCGAAAAATGCTAAAACACGTATTTATTTAATTGTATTGCAGAGCATTAATACCAAGTTTCAAGTAATTCTGATCATAAATATTTTTTGTGTAGTATTATAACGTAGTTTCCAGTGGAAATGAGATGATCTCCCGCAATAAAAAGTAGCCTATGCCACTCTACAGTCCTCCAAATATCTCCACACAAATAATTACACCAATCCGTCAGTCCGTTTTGACGTGAAAGAAGGACAAACAAACGCAGTTTCACATTTATAATATTAGTATGGAAGTATGGATTTACATTTATTATGACCATATTATATTATAATAAGTAATATAAAGTACGCGCTTGGCTCAGTTTGCAGTGACCCTATTCGCTGTGCCAGTCGCAGCTGTTTCGAGTCTATATATATGTAATGTTTATAGTCTAATCATGAGGGTTTATATTTATAATATGTATTTAAAGTTATATGTGTAGTGTATCTACTAAGTGGTTTCCATAACACAACCCTCGTAGCTTACCGTCGAACTAGATGGTGCTGTTTGTTAATGTCCCAACATATTTATATGTATGTGTATATGTAAGTATACATATAAAATTGCTTGTTCCGAATTATCCAACACCCACAACATGCTTATCTTAAAAATAATGGCCGTACTGAAATTTGGACAGCTTATTTCTAAAATAAAATAAAAAATAAATTTAGAATGGTTTTTTAAACTTGTAAAAAAACCCTAAATCAAAAAAATTGTATGTAATATTATACAGGCTACGTTTATTAAAAGCTTTATTGATTATTTCTCTATTTAGCAAATATATGAATATGAAATACATATTTGGGCGTTTTGATAATAAAATTTAACCTTTTAATGGAAAAGGAATTGAGGAGACTAGTTTTACGAAATGTCAGATTTACTTTTTAACAATCAATGTACTTACATCGATTACAAAGTCGCTCTAAAGTAGTGACTTTGAATAAAAAAAACCATTTCAAAGGGCAAAATTACTATTCCGCCCTTTGAAATGGTTTTTTATTTATATGGTTATTTCTATGGTTTGTATGGTTTTTTTTATTTATACGATCCATTTGATATCGATTCTCAATTGGCAAAGATATCGCGTAATTTACCCATTTTTCCTCCTTTTTGATTTCGGTCAGAAAAAAGCCGGGCGAAGGCATAAGTAAAAATCTCTAAATATCAATTACAAAGTGTAAATTTTTTATTGCTTGAAAAAACCAATTTAATTTTTTGATTGATCGTAAATACTATTAGCAGTTATAAAATTACGTAGGTGTACGTTACACAATTTTAAACGACTGTTTTTTCAAATTAAAAAAAAAACAGCATTTATTCTCTTCAGTTTTTTTATTTTCCTTGACGGCCCCGTTATATGTGTATGTAGGTTCGTGACATTTGCGGAGCATTTTTGGTTTTCCGGCCTATTTCTGCTGACATTTACCAAAACTATTACCTTATAATAACCTACTTTGATATTGTCAGTTTTTAGGGGATTTACAATTTATTGTTGTAATACTTTTTTAATTTTTTTACTAAACTTCACGCATCAGGTAAACTGTGGAGACAGGAAGTATACAGAGTCTTCCCTTTCTTCTAAAAATACCAAGAAACTACTTTTGCCTAAACCGTGTCTGCCATTTTACTGTATGGGAATCGAACCCGTGACTTTTATTTCATTAATTCTAAAAATGCTATAAAATCGTCCCATTTGTTTTTGGCGAGAGAGATACAATTCTTTTCATATTCATTCGAAAACGTCGCTATAATACTCATTTAAAATAACACAGTCCTTATCACTTGATTATATATATGTAGGTATGTAGTAGTTAAGATATACTTAGCGCCCGATGTATCAGAAACTCAAGCCGTGCTTTATAAGTTAATTGCCAGTTGTTTTGGTTCTGTCCATTGTGCGCGCATTGAGCTTGTTACTGAGGCGTCTGTTCGGTCACCTTCCTTGCCGTAAGCCATCATATACCTTTGTTAATTGAAGTCTATAAAGTTATATGTGTAAATTAACATTTGACCTTACAACCTATAAAAACCGGTTAGTCGTGTGAAGTGTAAGTTGTTTAAACAATAATAATAAAATAATAAAAAAAAAACAATTTTCGTGCTCGTTTAGATTTGTACTGAAAGTGAAATTAAAAAATTGTTTTGATGATTCGTGAGCTTTTTGGTGTGATGAAGTGTTTGAAACCATAACTATCATTATGTCTTATCGGCAGTAGTTTAATGACCTTCCGATTTGAGGAGAATGTAGGCAATGCTTAACTAATTAGTGACGAGCATGAAGGTTGTAAAGGTGAGATATATTAGTGTTATTAAAAACTTGCTGTTTGTAATAAGATCTGTCTTCCTAGTTATAAATTTACACTAGTTTTTTGTTTGAATTAACTTCTTAATTTCTATTAAATAAAAATTGTGGCATATATCTAGATTCTAGACAATAAGTATGATTTATGACCCATATAAAATACAGATAGCTTGTTTTGACAAATATTGTGTTATATGTACCTATTACCTACTTATTACATTTTTTTTATTAATTTAACTTAATCTTATAATTTACCTAAGGGCAGGCTGTAGCCAAGATAAATTCAGAATTTAAAAATTTTAGTCTAATTCTTACAATTCAGTATTATATTAAACAAAAAAAAAAGATTACGTATTCATGAATAATAGAAAATATATATAATTTTGTCAACTTCTTTCTTTAAATAATATTAAAATCTTATCAGTACATAAATAAATGCGTGACGCAAAATTTAATATCCCCAACGACCATATTATCATAACTTTATGTTTGTTGTGGCAAATGCAATGGATATTGTGAATCATACTCTTTAGTATTCAATTGACATCCGACGCGCAGAGCGAATAATTTAATAACGTTTTTTTTTCTTAAAAGCTTATTTTTTTTATTTTAGTGTTGTGACTATTGTTAAAATGACTTTTGGAAAAACATCACACGCAATATACAGGGTGTGTCAGATATACTATAATTTAATAAATAGATAGACATACATTTTATTGCTTGTAAAAATATGCTTACCTGGAAAACTATCATTAACTTTTTTGTTTAGAAAAGATTTCCCATGGAAGAGAAAATCAAGGCAAAATTAGGTTTTATTATATTCTATTCTACCTAATATTGTTTGTGCGATTCATGTTTCCTTCACCTATTCATGGCACTACCATTGCAAACCATAACTGGATTTTCGAGCTAAAGACAAAAGAATATATTATATTAATTAATTTATTGTTATAGTTTAATCATTTTCCACGATTCTGTCTCCTATTTATTTAAATATTTTTTATTTATTTTAGGGAAACAAACAGTATTACAATAAAATTTACAATAAAAATACACACATTTACCAATTAAGTAAGTTACACATTATCACAGTAGAAAACATTAAGGCAAAATAAGTTAACAGGTTCACCAAAACCAAGTTTATACTTGATCCATTTAATTTTTATAACATCAATATATTAACGATGTTTTTTTTTTCATGAAAACATGAATATATTTAAATATGCTTTTTGATACAAACTAAGTTTTTCTTGTAAACACGCTTGCGTAATACAAGGATAATAAAAAAAAACAGCCCATGAATGCTTTAATTGGATGTTTGTTTATTTGTCTGTTAATGCATAGTTCATATTCGTCCAGAACGACTACGCTAATTTTACAACACTTTATCTTAGGTTATATACGTTATACATATACAAAATGGTTTGAGAAAGAGAGAAATATGCAATTTTGTAACTACATGTTACAAAATTGCATATTTCTCTCTTTCTCAAACCATTTTGTATATGTACTGTTATTTATTGCTAAGGTTCTTTTAGGATTTTTTGTTGATGATAGTTTATTTTCTAAAGTTTTAATATTCCTCTATTAAATGATCTGTATTCGTGTATTCTTACTTAGGAATCATGTCGGCATGTTGGCGGCTCGAAGTTCTACGAAGCTGTAGATGCATCCACAACAGCGGGGACTTCGACTCCGTCGCCCACAGAAAAGCAAGACCACATGAAGCCTATTGAAAGTGATGACGAAGGTGATTTAAACAGATATTGCTTGTTTTTTATAAATAATTCTTTAACAAGATAAAGAAACACCAATCTCGACTCTGCGATACCTAATTAACTAAATAGTTAGACGAATCGTACTAAATACCTTTCAAATTAAACTACGTTTCTAATGCTCAATATTCGTTTACTATTCGACAAATCCATAGACTTAAAAGCGCAAATATAATTAATTCAAGCATAAAAGATTTAAAAAATGACAAATAAACAGTCCAAAACCCGATACAAATAGTACTAATGAAATATTTTTTAGTATCAGATGTCGACCAAGAATGTACAGTGTTCTGCGGAGTTAGTTACCTGGGAGCTCAGAACATAGCTGATCCGAAGTCAGAAACGGACATACAACGCATCATGAAGGAGCTCAGTTCGATGCCCGAAAACAGAGATGGCATTGCTGTGTCTATATCCATACCGGTGTGCTCTCAAGGACTTGTCGTGTAAGTTGTTGTTATATTCTATTGTTGAACATTGTGGTTTAACTTATGTAACAAAAATGATTATACTATTGCTGGGGAACTTGTTTATGATAAAGTAAATTGTCCTTATTTTGTTCGTATTGGAGTTTTACTTAGGTGTTTCCTTAAGAATAAGTCGTAAATTTTAGTAAATACTTGTTCAATGACTATAACTTTACTAGCAGAACCCGCGACTACCCCCGCGTTCAATGTACAAAAAAACTCTTTGGCTTTATGTTAAACAGCGACTCACCTTCTCTGTGGGGTCGGGTTCGTCGCTATATATTTATATAATACTAGCTGTACCCGCGGCTTCGCCCGCGATCAAACTACTAAAAAAAACAAACCCTTTGTCACACCGACAGCAACGCCACCTACCGTGTACAATTGTGAATCTAAACCATTCCCAGATCCCCTTGAACACACACAAAAAATTTCATCAAAATCGGTCCAGTCGTTTGAGAGAAGTTCAGTGACATACACACTCACAGAAGAGTTATATATATAAGATTGTTCATACAAAAATATTAAAATCGCGTTTATAAAATGGGGGATGGGGGTAGGAGGGTAAAAAATACTTTACGGCCTATGTTCATAATTACCAAATATACATTTTTTTCATTAAAATCAAAAAAGTGCGACCACAAACACGGTGACACGAGATATTTATATATTAGACTAGCATTGCCCACGGCTCCGCCCGCGTTCAGGTGACCAAAAACCAAATTCTTAGGTTTTACATATTATTAGTATACTCTTACAGTGCAGTTTTTGGTTTTTTTCTTAGAAATGAGATATTTTCCCGCGGTAAAAAGTCTCCTATATGTTGACCCGGATAACCAGCTATCATTATACCAAATTTCATCAAAATCTGTCCAGTGGTTTTCTAGTGATGCGGTAACAGACAGACAGACAGACAAAAATTCTAAAAACTATAGATTCGGACTCTGTATCGATAATAACGTCTATTTCAATTAGATTTTCCAAAAAATATCTAATGTACAGATTCGGCTTAGTTACAATTTTATTATATGTATTGTATATATTGTAGATATTCTTTCCGTATATTATATTTTATAAATAATGATTGTCATATGCCTAATATGCCTTATTAATTATTTGAGATAAATTACATTACACAGGAAATGAAAATTAATAAAATTAATTACTGAATAAATGTAATGTATAATATAGTCAAATAAAATATACAATAAATTTTAAACTTGGTAAAAATATTATGAAAAACCTTATAACTATCCTACTCCTGATACTCTATTTTCATCTCATTCTCTCGTAGGTTACTTTTTTGAAGTTTCACTTCTACCATGTGTGAATTGCACACACGCACATTTTTTTTATAAGCACAACTCTCCCACAGATTGTACCAAGCGGACACAAACAGTGTAATGACAAGGTACGCAGTGAACAGGATATCGTTCTACGCGCGCGGCGCCGCCGGGTCGCCGGTGGCGTCCTGCTTCGCCTTCACCTGGTCCCACGGGGAGACCAGGGAGTCCGCGGTGTACAGGTGTCACGTGTTCCGCTGCCACATCGCTGAGGCTGTTAATCAGGTTTCAAGTAAGTGATATTGTTATTTATTTCAACTGTCTCGGTGGTGTAGTGGCTAGCATGTACGGCTGCACACCTGGAGGTCCTGGGTTCGAGTCCCGGGTCGGGCCAAGTTTAGTTATTGAGTCTTCCTGTATAGTAAGTCTTAGTAACAGCCGGAGTTGGGAAGTTGGCGGTGTTTCACCCCCGTGCCTCGGAGAGCACGTAAAGCCGTCGGTCCTGCGCCTTAACTCTCACCGGTCGTGTCGAGTGGTCGTCCCATCGGAGTATGAGAGTGATAGGAATAGAGAGTGCACTTGTGTCTGCGCGTACATTTGAGCACTATAATATCTCCTGCGCAGTTGGCTTATCTCATTGAGATTGGCCGCCGTGGCCGGAATCGGCTAGGAGAACATCATCATCATCATTGTTATTTAAAGTGACTTTGATCTTTGTTCACAGCGATGAAATATATTGATATTGTAATTAAATATACATGCCAAAATATACAGGTGGTTTACAATTGTGATATGTATAAGGTTTTAAGCTACCACTACCTTAAATTTTCGTGGAGAATGAAGTTGGTCATCTTGTTAAAATGAAGCTTCTCAGACGAATTCAGGTTGATATGAATTATTGATGGCCCTGCGAGATCTCTGACTAGGACGCTTAAATTTTGCCAGACAAATTACTATGCTAAAAACATGATGTAAATCGGACCAGTGGTTCTCAAGTTATGACCAACAGGCACAGACAAACAGCAAGACGTAGAAAGTCGAATTAAAAATCTAAACTTTAGACCGATTTCGTGGATTGTGATTATTATCTTCTATTAACATGGTTTTATATCACATATTTTTTTTAAACTACAAGTTGACCCACTTTAAATATATTGTATGAATCTGTAGATAATTTTTCCGATGAAGGTATTTATTGTGTAAGCACATTTTCCTTTGTGTTTAGTAGTATTTACACGTGATGCTCTTGATAACCAATAGATGGGTATCACGGTAAAACTATTGCTTATATTTTTATTTTATCTTATTTTCTAATCTAAAACCACATACATACACGCAAATACGTAATCGCCATCGCTTGGATCTAGCCCTTGAAATACACGTTTGGATGATATATGGTGTTCAAAATACTCATCTACGGCCCAGGTTATGAACGTTTCTTATTTGTTGTTTAAATTTTAATACGATTAATTGCAACCTTGAAACGCATTGTTTTTATTCTTTCATATGCGTATAAAAACAAATATGTAGATATAAAAAACTGTTTGGCCTAATACGTCACCGTCCAGACTAATCCACTAGACATAGGAGCTAAAATTATGGCATTTATGCCTAGAAATGACGTAGGTAGTCGTTAAGAAAGATTTTATGAGTTTACCCAGAAAGGCTCACAAAGAGAGTGGCGAAAATCGTATGCGAGACAATGTGTTCCCGCTTTGAAATTAAAAAGTAGATCAGTGAAGCTAGAGCATGCTTCTATGTTAGATACCCCACCAACGTGCGTTCACCTTGTCGTGGTGGGGGGGCTCAGTAGTGCCCGGCATCCAACCGGGCGCGAAGCTAAGAAACGCACAGGGAGGTTGCCCACTTCGGTGGGCGGTGGGAGGTGGCCCTCTTCGGGGGGGCGGTGTACCTTGCGGGTTGCTCCTGGTACTTCTCTGATAGCAGAGTGGACCTTGGAGCAACCCCATGGTTGTGGTGGTCTGCTTCGGCAGACCTGCCGTCGGGGCGTCGTAGTTGAATGCGTAAGCGATCCTGCGACGCCTCATTAAGACGGGGGAAGGTTTTGTTGGGTTTTAGTGGGTAGTACTGGTTGTATTACGCCGGTGAGTCCCACACGTCGTGCGTAAATGCATTTCCCAACGTTAAAAAAAAGGCTTCTATGTTAGATAGCTAATATAAGCTACACAGTATAAATAAATAAATAAATAAATATGTTTGGACATTAAGACACAGCGCCATCTAGTTCCATGGTAAGCTACGAGGCTTGTGTTATGGATACCAGATAGTTGATACACTACACATATATAACTTTTAAATACATACATATTATAAATATAAACACCCATGACTAGAGTACAAACATTCGTGCTCATCACACAAATGAATGCCCCCCAGCGGGACTCGAACCCGCGACCGCTGGCACAGCAAGTAGGGTCACTACAAACTGAGCCAAACATGTCGTCAAATATAGTATAGACTAGCGACTCACCCTTGCTCCGCTCGGGTATTTTTAACGTTTAGTATAGATTTCTCAGAGATGAGATATTTTCCCGCAGTAAAAAGTATTCTATATGTTGACCCGGATAACCAGTTATTTTGGTCTTCTCGCAATGCGGTCAGACAGACAGACAAACATTCTAAAAACTATAGATTCGGCTTCTTTATCGATAATAATAATAGATAATAATGACTATTTCAATAAGATTTTTCCAAAAAATATTTAATGTACAGATTTGACTTAGAATTTTATTATATGTATAGATTACAGTATATACTTACATATAATTTGAAAAGTAAAGAAGTACTATAACAATGTGAGAAGCAAAAAGTTAATATGTGAAATATGTAGTCAATAACTAGCTGCTATTTGCACAATCATTTATTATAATTTATAAGTGATTTAAATCATGTCAATGTATATTACAACGAGTTGACCAAATAATCAAGCCAGTTATTGTGAGTCCGTCTAATTCTGCACACGTTATATTTACAAAAAGTAAGTCTTGTAAGTTAAAAAAATCTAATATATTGATATTTTCGAATAGTTTTTCTGTTAATGGGGCTGCTAGTGATGCCTATTTTAGTACTGTTTTTTTTTCTTAAAACATACATATATAAAACCTTAAAATGATAACATAAATAGGAGAAAAGAACATAATGAAAATATAAGTATTTTATTAATCTTTAAAAATAGATATGTATATTAAAAGCCAGTGTAAATAGAAATTTCTTTCATGGCCTAGTGACATTTCCTGGAAAGCAAATTACGCGTATCAAAGATCAAAGCCAAACATTCGAAAGACCAATATTTAGATTTCATACTTTCCCATTATTTCTTATTTTGGTTAATAAATCTTTATTGTATATTCTACTAGCGGCTCACCATCGCTTCGCTTGGGTTCGTCCATAGCTTGCTTCCCCATACAAACTTTCATCCCCATTCTCACAACCTTAAGGGATGATTTCCTAGATAAAAACTATTTCACTCTTCATATCGTAAGATTTAAAAAAAATCTTATTTTAGTAAAAAAAATTCTTTTTATTTTTGTTCTATACAAAACTACCTGACAATAATCAAACACAAAAAAAAAGAATTATCTAATTTGGTGCAGTTGATCCGAAGTTATGCGCGTACATACATTTCGGTGATTAATTTTTATTTATATTAATATATAATTTTTCATTCATAATTGTAGATTCAAACAATTTGGTATTAGTATCATTAAAACAAAATATTCTACGCTTAAATAATAACAACCTGACAAGGTGAAAATGGAAAGGTGTATTCACATTTTTATTAATGCGCAGTGTTGCAGATATTATAAAAAAATAAAATGAAATATATAATTATTTTAAAGCTTATGATATATTACAGATTCGACTTTTACACAACGTTCAATAATGATTTTGATGTTCGATTTCAGGCACGGCACACTTCTATTATGTAGATATCGTGACACATTGCTTAGCCGCGTCCGTATTCTGAATATTGTATATTTTTAATTACGTATTTTGTATGTTAAAAATTAAATAATATTTTTGAATTAAATTGATATTATATAATAATATATTGTGTTGCCTAAATATATCAAAATTTTGTTCATTATATCTTTTTCGTTATGTAAAAAAATACAAAATATAAATAAATCTCATAATATTGTAATGAATACATATACTTTTTACAATATCTGTTCTAATAGTAACCATTGCTTTCTTTATAAAACCTCAAGATTAATTACAATGCGCGATCTAAAATTGAAATCGCTGGATTATATACCAGAATAAGGTCGATACACTCTTATCTAGATATTGGAGTGTTTGTTTCATAAACTTGGTAGCGTCTGTATGGAACGGCTGTTTGGAATTTTTATAATAGTTTACTGTAAATCCGTGGTGTGATAAAGTTAGAAGTGAGTGAAGGTTTTAATTTATATGAAATAATATTGCTTATAGTGTCGTTCAATTATCAAGTGTCTGATTCAACCTAAATAAAAGGTACCTAATTTATTTTTGTTATGTTATAGTTACCTTGTGCAAAAGGTAAACAGAACAAATTATTATAAAATCTTGGAAACTTATATGCGTTGTTAGTTTATTTTTTATAATTATAAAAATATTACTTTGCTTATACTATATTACTACTGCTATTACTTGCGGAGTTCCAATAAAATTATCTTTTCGACCAATTTCAAAAAAGAGTATGCACTGTACTATATTGTATGTATTTATACGTAGTTACGATGAAAATGGTTATGGTATCTCCGGATTCATAAGACTTAGAGCTTTATGAGTAAGACTATCAAGTAGCATTTTTTTTGCTGATTCCGAATCTGCATTTGACCAAATTGTTAGTTAGAGCGTTCTTCATTATGACGGCAGAATAGTATTCTGTTCTAAAATTATCTCCTGAGTTATTGTTGAATAAAAAGTTGATAAATCAATTAAAACTATTAAAATAATTTTTGCTAAATATATATTTACTTAATGTTAACATTGTTGTGTGACCTTTATTTGTGATGAGTTTACGCCCACAATATTCAAATATACATTGATCATATCAGTGTAATCCTTATTCATAGGATGTATTACAACTTTATATTATAATCATATTTTTATATGTTACTAATATGATAATTTTTAATTTTCAATAAATATATAAAAATAAAAGACTAACTAGCCGTTTGTACCAATAGAGCTTGTATATTTTTTATTGATATTTTGTCGTAACATGAAAGTGGCTAAATTGATCTGAAATGGTCTTTGTTACTAGTAAAATCAATAATATTACGCGAATGTAAGTTTTATGCTAAATAAAAGTACTTTAGACTATATCTTTGAATTATATAACATTCTAATCACCTTAATATTTCCAAAGCTAACTGCCGTCCTTGAGCTTTGTTTACTAAGAAATAATGTTTAGGACTGATTTTTAGGTCTTCCCATAAAAATAATCTAATCTTAACCTAACTGAGTATAAAAGCTAAGCTTTTATTAATGCGACTATAATTCTTATATGCATGTTATATTATGGCCTATAAATAAAAGTCTTAAATAAAAAAGTTAGTAGTAGTTTAATTTTCTGCTGGTAGATCAATGGTATCGCGTTCGTTTGAAAAACCAAGTGGAAAGAGTTGAAATCAGAGTCTCACATCTGGAATTTGTACCATGTGATTTTGCATGTGTAGAAAACCTAATTAGTATTCCAAAAACTTGTTAAGTCTTCTAAAACGCACTTGGCCCGACTCCAGAGACTTCAGAGTGGTGGGCTATGGCCCGATCCGCCTCGCCTTTGCCCAGTGGGATTTATTTTTATTATAAGTAATTTTATTTGTGTTCCCAAAGGTTGCTTCGCAAAAGCATTCGAACGTATACCACGTTCGATGGCATCATCTCTCGTGGGCGACCTTAGTGCGGCGCCCTCTATGACTGGGTCGCTAACGGAGGGCCTGGGCCCCGCCGCGCCTCCTATGCAATTGATGCATGTATTGGAATGCACTATCGACATAAAAGAAACTGATGCTAAGGTAAAATAGTATATTGTTTTTCTTGAATTAATTATATTTTAGTGTATATTTAAAATTTTATATTAAACTAGCGACTTACCCTCGCTTCGCTCGGGTTCGTATGTTTTCATTTTTTTGAGCGGGACCCTAATTCTTTTTCTAAAATAAAAGTAGCCTATGTTACTCCCTATAACATCAGCTATCGTCCAGTGAGTCTCGTCAAAATCAGCCCAGTCGTTTCAGAGATTATCCGGAACAAACAGACAGACAATCAAAAATTAAAAAAAATGTGTTTTTGTTATAAGTACCGTATATAATTTTATATTCATTTAGTAAAACGCTGTTATTTTGACATTACAAACAGACACTTCAATTTTATTTATCTGTATAGATAAGACATATTTGTAAATAAATGATGACAACTATTTGATAAAACGTCATATTTTTGAAATTACACGTTTGGAAAATTTATGAGAGTAAAATTTTCACGATGCGTGCGCACCGACAGCCAAAAAGCGACATGATGAAGTTTGCTGCATTACTTTTACAGAGTTGTGACATACGGGATGAAATCTTTAGCTTTTTTTGTTCTGTTACGCCAAAGAAGTATAACTTCTGACGTGCGTGCATATGTAAATATACACGTTTTTTTAATTAATTGTAAATAATAAATATTTAAAAAAAATAGTACACTTTTCCTTACAGGGTACACTTAGTCACGTGCCGAAAGAGCGCCTCGGCTACAAACTGCGCGGTGGCATCGACAAGCAAGTCACTATAAATGTCACGCAAGTCACAAATAATGTTCACGCTGAAACTGAAGACCCACAAGTAAATAAGCAACATTAAACCTCAATATCTTTATTCGTAACATATTTTGGAGCTCGACCAAAATTTCAGATTCTGCGTTAAGAGAAATCCTACTGAAGGTACAGGTAGTTTTTGTGCGGACTTAGGAAACGATGGGTGTAGGGGAGAGTGTAACGGCATCCGTTGGAATAGTACTAATTACATACAGCTACATTAATTAATAAATAGGGCAGTGGTATCCCAGTGGAAAGCGTTCGCTTGGGAAATCGAGTGAAGCAGGTTCAAATTCGTCGTCTCATAGTCCACTATGGTCTGATTTTCCTAGTATTGGAAAGCCCGTGCCCAGTAGTTGTACGTTAAAAATGGCTGAACACATCAATAAAAACATCTAGAGCTCCGTCCGCGTATTTTATTTGTGGCGTATGGTGATCCGGTTTTAAAGTAGCATGATGCGTATCCTTTAGCATATAACCTTCCTCAATATATGGGCCAAGAAATGCAGCAACATTTTTTCAAATCGGATTGGTAGTTCCAGATACTAGCCCGTTCAAAAATATAAACTGTTCAGTTTTATATATTTGTATAGATAAATATTTACATTGAAAATTGAAAAATGACGTCTGCGATTACACATTAAGAACTCTTGATCCTATGTCAATTTCACTTTATATGTGTATATTTTAAACTCTATAATTTTTGAAGATATCTTTTAGTATATAATTTGTATTGAGTGATATTGATAAATATTTTTAACGTAAAACTTTTTTTTCCAGTCGTCTTACACCGGTGGGCTGTACATAGAAAGATGCTTCGGTATACTCCTGGCGCCTGGTCGCAGTGTGAAACATTCAGACATGCAATTACTTGAAATGGTATGTATATATTATAGAATATCAATTACATTTTTAATACACTTCTTCTCTTATCTTTATATATAAAATTGCCGTGTCACGATGTTCGTTCGCGTTAACTCCGAAACTACTTCTCCGATGTTAACGTAATTTTTACCAAAATGTGTGTTTTTTATTCCGATTATTTCCTTTTTTTATTGCAAAATTCACGATTTTCATATCAACAGGAACGCGTGGTCGGGTCTGCTAGTATACGTATATATATATGTCTATTAATATCGTATTCTAAACAGCCATCTATGTTTCTTTCGCACGTATGTATTTCTTACTGTGTTGGCGATACACAAATGTATGCTGTGTTTTAATTACACTTGTACAAATATTTGTATGCCATATGTTAATGTAAATTACAACTATTTATAACATAACAGACATCATTTGATTTAATCGTCTTCAGGAAAGGTCAAATCTTTTGATATTACTGAATTTTGTTAATTACTGATTTTATCAATGAGCCTATCAAAATCTTTAATAATTATCTATCTAATTTTAGGGTTAAAATATCAATAACTAAATACGATATTTTAGCTTTGAATATGTACGTAGTTGTAATTTTTTAATTTGTTTTCCTGTACTGTGCTTAAAGAAATAAAATAGATATAAATGCAATACCTGTACAAATTTGCAGGTGAGTGGTTCGTCAGGAGGGTCGGGGTGTTCAGTGTGCGCGTTTTGGAATGCGGGAGAATCCGCGCTCGCCGCCTTCAACGTGGCGAGCGGCGACGGCGCGCCCGCGTACATGTCGCTCGCGCTTGATCTGGTCATACGCGGCATTAGGGACCCGTTGAGGTTCGTTTGCTTTTGTTTGTAGGTGTTTGTTACTAGTTGAGAGGTTTTGGAATATATTTATATTAATCGAAGGTGTAGCCCAGTAATGCGCTCACTGGAGAACTGAGTGAAGCGGGTTCAAATCCCTGGTCTCACATCTCTGATATTCTCATGTGTGATTTCGATCTGTAGTTAAGTGTGATGAGGGCACACTGAGATGCCATAAAGTTTTATTAAATTTTGATTTTAACATAGTTAAGCAATGTTTGTATTAGAATATGCCATTTTTGTTTCTTACAGGTTGGTTATTGAGACTCCAGTGAAAGTATTTCCACCTGCAGAACGATTTTGGTATTACTCCAAACGACCTCTAGTTCAGCAGTTCTACATTAACTTAAAAGAGGTAATAAAAACGTTTATATAATGATAACTTTACATTACAATTGGTATATTAAAATGAATGAACTTCTTTGTTTCTTTATAATTTGCCAAAATATCATCTAATATTAATTGTTAGACAAAAAATATATATTAAAAAGTAAGTTATAGTCTAACATTGCGTATACGCGACTGATTGGTATACCTCCTTTTATATAACAGTCGGTAAACGGCTTTAGGGTCGACACTACAATGCTTTAACTTCTAATCTGTTCATTGATCATAAATTTTTTTACTGATCCCCATTTTGATAATAACTAAACTGATTGTGTTGTAATTAGAATACTTTTTTGTTTGACTTGAAAGAACAAATCATAAATAAAAAATATTAATATTTATAATAATATTTATTGTACCAAAAAGATAAAAAATAACCTAACTATTTAACGTGATGAATGAATTTTTTCACATATTTATTTATAATAGCACTAAAATTAGGGCTTCCTTTCTGACAACATTTTAATTAACTCTCGGACAGAACACGGAACCTTAGTGACCCTTACACGGAACCCTAGGGTTCCGCGCACCACCATTTGAGAACCCCTGGTCTATTGTATAGATTTTTATCTTATAGTTAATACCTCCCCCACAGTCAGTGGACTCGCTGGGCCAGCTGCAGTACGAGGTGGCGAGCGTGGAGACGTCGGGCGAGCTGGACCGCTCGCGCCTCAACCTGCCGCTGTCGCTGTCCAGCCTGCTGCCGTCGCCGCTGTCCGCCGCGCCCGCGCCGCCCTCGCCCTCCGAGCCGGACTCGGGTGTGTGTTACGGTCATATATGTATTATATTGTATTAGTGCTGGAGAAATTAATTATTAGGAAATATTTTTTTTAACTAGCGGCTCACCCTTAGCTTCGGTCAGGTTCGTCCCTAGATACGTTTCGATTTTTTTGAGTGAAACCCTAATTCTTTTTCTGAAATAAAAGTAGCCTATGTTATTCTCTATAACATCAGCTATCTTCCAGTGAAAGTCCCGTCAAAATCAGTCCAGCCGTTTCAGATATTATCCGGAACAAACAGACAGACAGACAAAATTTAAAAAAAATGTGTTTTTCTTATAAGTACCGTATATAATTTCACATGCATTTAGTAAAACGCTGTAATTTTGACATTACGAACAGACACTTCAATGGTATTTACCTGTATAGATTAAAAATATGTGTGATTTTTGCTTATTTTATCTAAAAAAACGTTTTGATGTTTCTTTGAGGTTTGAGTAGTGACTTCACAACAATATCTTATAGATTAAGTAATATATTGTAATGTTTTTATTGAATAAATGAAAGTATTACATGAATTAGTATTTATATAAATTTTATAAATATTATATTATTATTTTTTTATTTTCGAAACGTATTTTTTAACATTAGATGGTGATGAACCACTGCTCAGCGGAACTGGCGAAGTATCTAAGGATTGTAATGTGGATGTTCTTGAAAATTGGGCACAAGTTCTTAGAAGGTAATATTGATTTAAAATTATCACATTTACATTTGTACTTTCATAAAATAATAAATAATATTACAGTACCCTAAATACTTAAACAATCCTAAAATGACAATTCTGAGGGGTAATTAGTTTTTTCTATTTATTTCACTTGCTCCAGAGTAATGAACTTCAGTGACACGACAACTAGACATTCGAGGTTACCGATCAGGGGTTGGACCGAAGGACACGCTCTCATAAGCACGAGGGTGAAACATCGCCAACATCTATTATACTTGGTGCGATCTAGGACTCGAACCCAGGACCGACCTACCTGCAATCGTACATCCTAGCCCCTAGATCACTGAGACAGTAATTCATTATCTATACTAATATTATAAAGAGGAAAGATTTGTTGGTTTGTACTGAATAAGCTCCGAAATTACTGAACCGCATTAGATGAAATTTGGTAAGAAGATAGTTTGAGACCCTGGGTAGGACATAGGATAGTTTTATCCTGGAAATCATCCTTTAAGGGGGTGAAAATCGAGCGAAGCGAGGGTGAGTCGCTTGTTAATAATACAAATATTTGTACTGTTGACAGTTGGATCGGTCCTCGCCCACGTGCTCTGAGTCAGCTGGTCCGCGTGGGCGTGCCCGAGGCGCTGCGCGGAGAGGTGTGGCTGCGGCTCGCCGGCGTGGACCAGAACGATAAGTTGATGGAGACGTATCGCACTCTTATAAGTAAGGTATGTATTATATCAAGGTACACAATAAAATTTCGAGGTAATCATCGTTTTTTCTGATAAAACTATAAAAATCAATAATAAATAAAATACCAGTTTATTTTGTGTTTTAATAATATTTTAGTTAATTTTCAAGTGTAAATACTTTTTTAAATTGAATTAATTTATATAATTAATTAAAAACCATGAATCAGTATAGTCAAATAACTAAAATAAATAACTGAATGGTATATGTTTCATGTACATTTATTGCAAACCTATCTACATAAATTAATGTGAATAAAATGCTGTTCTTTTTGGTTAAGTTTGTTTTTACAAAACTGAAAATATTTATCTATATGATTTATGTGTGAACTCAAACATCTCAAACAATATTGCAATATAAACAGGATTATATCTATCGGGTCAGATAGTTATTCTAGCCAGTTATTAAATAAAATTATAACCAATGTATGTCCAGGACTGTCCGTTCGAGGCGGTGATCCAGCGCGACATAGCGCGCACGTTCCCCGCGCACGACTTCTTCCGCGAGGCGGGCGGGCTCGGCCAGGACTCGCTGCTACGCATGGCGCGCGCCTACGCCGTCTACGACGTAGAGGTCGGCTACTGCCAGGGACTGAGCTTCCTCGCTGCTACGCTGCTCTTACATGTAAGTATTATAATAATATATCAAACAGTACGCTGTCTTAATGCTTATTTGATCAAACGACCAATACTTATTGTACTTTACAGAGAGTTTTTACCTCTAGTTTAAAAAATAAAGGTTTATTTATAATATTTTTAAAATACTAGTAATATGTAATTTTTCGGCTTTTTTAAAGGGTTTATACCAATAGAATTGAAATTTAAAAGTCAATAATTTTGTATCAACATCTTAAACACTTTCGGTAAATTGGTCGTTTGGACAAATAAGCTTTGGGACAAGTTATAGCACAGGCTACAAATCATACATACATATATTCGTTTAACAAAGGCTTCTAGACAGTAATTGTGCCGGGCGTATCAGTACGCTTCCGGCTGTCATACTTACTTTTATATGCATTTGGGGAACAAGTTTAGGTTGACAGATATAATTGTCACTTGTCACGAGCTGGCATTACAGGATATATACATTATATATGTCTATATACTTGTTTGTTACTTTATCTTTTTACTTTTAATTGAATATATTACCCATTTAAGGATGGGTTGTGAGTTTGAAGATGAGATTTTTCGATTGGAATATAATAATAAGTTAATTAAAAATAAAATTTAATTATATTTGAATTTATCAATTTTTATTAAAAAAATGTTTATTTTACAGATGCCCGAAGAGCAAGCTTTTTGTCTCCTAGTACGATTGATGTATGGATATGGATTAAGAGAACTGTACAAAGATGGTTTTGAAGCACTATACATGAGATTACACCAATTGGACAGATTGATGGAGGTAATAAAACTATTAACTATGACATTTTTAAAGATTTCTTTTAAATAATATTTCTTTTATATAATAAGTAATATATCTTTATATATTACTTTAACCTTTGTCAATATTTTATAACTTATGTTAAATAAAATAGATTTCCATATACATGAGGATTTATTGTTATTTGGTTTTTATTACAGGAACAATTAAATGACCTGCGGGCCCATTTTCAAGAGCTAGGCGTTGAACCACACATGTTCGCGTCACAGTGGTTCCTTACCGTCTTCACGGCTAGATTTCCATTGCCTTTGGTACGTTATGTTTATTCTTTACGAAAAATATGAGTCTAATAGATTTTAAACAAGAATGGTATAAAAAAATAAAACAAAAGTTTAGTCTGAGAAATTTTTGATAGTTGACAGTTTCAAATGACAATTTGCGTTATCTTGGCTGGTCAGAGTAGAGTTATGATGTATTAAATTAAATCTATTTTTAAAGTTTTTTAACATAACTAATAGTGGTTGCTACCTAAATAAAAATATTTCGTAAGGTGATTTATTTCCATAACATGGCGATATTTTCACTCAAATAAATGTATTTTTTAACAGGTTTATCACATACTAGATGTATTCCTTCTCCAAGGAATGGACACACTATTCCAAGTGTCACTGGCTTTACTCAGTCGCGCTCGGAAAGATCTTCTGCAACATGATTTTGAAGGTGTACTCAAATATTTTAGGTATAAATATATATGTGTATTTAATACAAATATAATGCAACATATATTATTTGGAGTTAAAAAAATCAATTTTAAAAAGCTATCAAAAATAATAAAATACGAATTTTTGTCCGTCTGTCAGCAACTAACGTAATGAATAAAATTATTTGCAAACTTTACAATTTCTTGTATATTAGTAGTAAGATTTTATTTAATAATCCTTTCACATTTTTTTAATTTTAAAATATTCTTGTTTACTTTGCTTTATTTTTAACTTAAAAAATTGACATTGTTCTTTTTACAGAGTAACATTACCGAAGAAATGTCGTGCAGAGGAAGCGTCGCGTCAGATCGTTAAACTCGCTTGCAGTATAAAAGTTAAAAGGCTACAGAAATACCAGCTGGAATACGAAAAGTTTATTAAGGGTAAGAATCTCCAAACAATAAAATGTTACAAGTAATGTACATTTCATACATAAACAAGTCGCTGGGTCGACTCATGATAGAACAAATTAATCTTTCTTTTGCTAGTACATAAATTGCAATTTTTTTTGAAATCAATAATGTTAATGATATACAATTTCAATCATAAAATTATTTATTTTAAGTTAAATATATTTTATTTAAATATCTTTTCATATAGCTATTGATAAACATTATTGAATAAAAAAATTGTTTTATTTATCTTGATTTTAATGATTACAGAATCAGCTGAAAAGGAAAAAATAAATGTAGAACTGGAACGATTGAAAGTAATCAATTCACAACTCCAACAGGATAAAGAGATGCTAGAAACCCAACTTGCTCAGGTATTGTTTATTAATTACAATTGTTATTTCGAAATTTAATGTTATGATAATAATAAAAAAACAAATAATTAGTAAATCAGTTCGTATATATTTTAAACTAACGACTTACCCTTGCTTCATTCGAGTGCGTCCCTTGGTGTCTCTTTGCTATAAATTATATTACTTTACTATACTTATCCTACGGGAACCGTACATTTTCCGGGATGATATTATAGCCTATAGCTTTCCTCAGTTAACGGGCTATCTAATGCAAAAACAATTTTTCAAATCGGATTAGTAGTTTCTGAGATTAGCGCGTTCAACCAAACAAACAAATTCTTCAGCTTTATAATATTAGTATAGATTTTAAACCGTGTAGGCAATGCACGCTGATAAAGTAACTCATTATTAGTAGTAACTCAGATTAAAATAATATAAAATCTTCACTGTTTTTTCATTTAGACACGCAGTAATTACGAAGAAGCTCAAAAGGAATATGTACACTACGCGGCAGTCGCTAGAGATTATAGAGAGATATGTGCGAGGCTCGACAAGCAACTACATCAAATGCAGGTAAAAAAAGTTTTGTGCAACATTACCTAGTAGTATGACTAGCTTTTACCCGTGACTCCGCTTGCATTTTTTATTTATGTATAAATGGTCTGCTCCTAAGCGTCGCAGGAGTAATTTCCTTTTATAACGAACTTCCCTCAACCAAGCTATAGTATGCAATGATAATGTTTCACACCTACCTGACACTCCTAGAGAAATACGCGTTACATATGTGTAAAATATAGCAAAATGCTAATTATTAAAAATAAACTTATTACCTAGTGAATGATTTTTTAATCAGCAATAAAATTACGGAAATTAGAGTTAAGAACGTATTTACTTTGGTTTTTTTTCAAACAGTTTTTTTTATCATTTTAATTTAAAAACAATAAATCGATATATACAATCACATCTATATTGATATTTGAACAATTTTTTTCTGATGCCTAAGCAATTAAGTTATATCAAAAGTTTGTCAATGTATATTTTTTTCTAGGACTGCGTGAAAAGTTGCGTCAGCTGTAGTGTTAAATTGGCACAGAAGGACAATAAAGAAGGTAAAATTATTATAGATATTTAGCCCTTTTTTAACGTCCCACTGCTGATCCTACCTTCAATACGAGGACATAGTCTACCACGCTGGCCATGTGAGGGTTGCTGGACTTTACAAGTCTTTCGAAAACTTGCTAGGTTCTCTCAGACATACAGTATTAATTACATTCTTTGGATTTTTTAGAAGTGCTTTAAAATGTTGACATTTAACTTTAAAAAGTTCGGATGAATATTCCACATTTAAACGACTGAGACCTTAAGTATTACTAACAAATCCAGTTAAAGTATAACCGAAAGATTAAAACTAACCTATCTACGCATCTATTTTGCTTATTTACCATCTTGTTTCAGAATTAGAACAAAAAGGAGAAGAAAAAGAGAATTCAAGCGACACAGAAGCGAGGCTGAAGCAGCGCGTGCGGGACCTCGAGCTGGAGCTCGCGCAGGTGAAGCTCGCTCATGTACAGGCGCAGTGCAGCAATCAGGTCAGTATATTTTACTATCGACTATATTATAAACTAGTGGCTCACCCTCGCTTCAAAAACATATCTATCCCTTGGGAACCGTATATTTTTCCGGGATAAAAAGTAGCATGTATCTCTGTGCCAAATTTCATCCAGATCCATTCAGCCGTTCTGGCGTTTCATAAACTTTCGCATTTATAATATCTATACAGACTTACCCTAGCTGCGCTCGATTTCGTCCCTGGGTACGGTTTAACTGTTTGTATGGAATAGATAGATTATTTTTTAGTATATATATATATATACTATACATAGGAAATGATTGATTCCCCATACAAACTTTTATCCCCTTTTCAACCTCTTAAGGGATAATTTGCGGGTTAAAAACTATTGTCTCTACTACTAACTAAACTATGTCTTTTCCAGGGTTTTAAACTACATATCTTCATACTAAATTTCATCCAAATCGGCTCAGCAGATTTTTAGTTTCATTACAAACAAAAATATATATTTTTTCTTTATAATATTAGTATAGATATGAAATTTTGTAAGTATGTTTGTTACTTTTTTAACGCTGAAATTGTTGGACAGATTTTAGTTAAATTTATTGCCCAAATAGACTACGATCTGGAGTAACTATATTCTACTGTTAGACACTTTGAGCGAACTGACGGTAATTCGTTAGTTTTAATACAAAATGCTTTAATATTACAAGAGTATTATTATTATAAGTACTTTTTTGTATATTATACATTCATGTAATGTTATGATTGTTGCTTGACGTAGTTATTAACATAATATATCGACCATCAATCATATTTTGATAAGTTAAAACGTTAAAGAGTCTGCTTTTGACACTTCAGATAAAAGCTACATATTTGTAGGATAAAAAACAACATGAAAATAGTTCTTTTGTTTCATTTTTATACTCAATAAGATTACAATCTTTTATTTTTTTATCTAATCATTGAATAATTATAGCTTATACAAAGAAGATAATATTTATTTTTTATTTTCAGGAGCTAAGCCACCAATTGAATGCGGCTCTAAACGAAATGCAAGCGGCCATGAACCAGAAGCAGTCGGTGACGCCGTGGCTCGTCCGCACGCTCGGTAAGTGCTTCGCCCACCACTCCCGCCACTCCCACTACTCGTGCCTCGAGTGCTCCCTCATACTAGCTGTACTCTTCGTCTACGACTACATGGCCATATTAGCTTTCATTATCTTCTTTGTTATGTCCATGCTATATACGATTCCACGGACTTTGAAAAAAATAGTTTTTTTTCTCTCCCCCTTGCTATAGTTTTGATTGTTATATACAATTCCACAGACATATAAAAATGAGAGATTTTCTTTTGTTTAATGTAAATGTTAGAAGTTTTTTAAATCGTTTATTTTTTGCTCTTTAATTATTGTGTAGGATTCTACGATTACTTATCTGTTTCAGACTTTTTTACAATGTCCATTGTTATAGTGTTACTTGACACTGTAGACTGTTGCGGATTTTACACAGAGAATGTGACCTTCAATTATTATTTTTCAATAGACTTCTTAAAAAAGGAGGAGGAGTTCGTCCCTTGATACGTTTTAATGTTTAGTATAGACTTCTCACCGATAATATGTTTTCCTGCAGTAAAAAATATCCTATATGTGGACCCGGATCAGATATCATCATAATAATTTTCATCAAAATCCCTCCAGTAGTTTGACCGTGATGCCGTCACAGACAGACAAAAATTCTATAAACTATAGATTCTGCCTCTGTATCGATAATGATGTCTATTTCAATAAGATTTTCCAAAAAATATTTAATGTATAGATTCGGCTCCGTAACAATTTTATTGTATGTATAAACTTTTCGGAATTGACTTTTATGTTCTGATGGTTCATGGTACATAGGTACCATGTTTTATTTTTTGGTTGAGACGATATTTATTTTTAACGTAACTAATAATATGTTGATTCAACTAAAAATTGAACTAAGTAATTACTTTGTAAAATTTTACTATTTTGCTGAGCGAATGTTTATAGATATTCTTTATTTTCGTGATATTGTGAATTTTGATATATAATATGCAGTTTTTTGTTTGATGTACTTAATATATAATTTTAAAAACCATGTTGTCTTCGCTGTTTTTCTTCTATCAAATATCTTTATTATTAATATTATATTATACCTTTATTTATTTTTTTAAATTGGTCTATTATGAGTATCAAAATATTTTGTCTCTCTAAAAGTCGACATTTCCTGTTCCTATTTTAGTTTAATCTCACTCACACAGTTATGTTTAACATTTCTATTATCCCCATAACGCTAGTCTTACTTAATAATTTTCTCACTTTTGAATTAGTTTTGCTCAACTTTACCCATTAACAAATTATCAATAGAAGATTTAAAAGAATATTTATAAATTAGCCTCTTTTTTACTGATCTTGTAACGTTATGTTATTTTTATGAGTGAACGTTAGTGTTTAATCAATAGCCTTAATTACCAATCAACTTGAAAGAGATTTATATTATACATACATCTGACATTTTTTACATACAAAAATATGTATAAACATACAAAAATCGATACTGAGTAGAGGAGAACATTTAAAACTTTATCTCTTTTTGTAGGTCATTAAAAGCCTGTTAAATGCTTTATAATGCAGGTGAATACCTATCAATAATATTCTAGACTAGTGTTTCTAACTTTCCTTTAACCAGTATTATATAGTGCTACATACATAGCCTTACTTTGTTTCTAAAATATAACAAAATAACAAATCTTAATACCTTACGTTATTATATATATTGCTAGTGTCTCGCGTCTAGCATGGTTATTTTTTTACTCAACATATTTTCTTCTATGTAATTAATTTAGTATATTATGTTAGTGCATACTTCATTGCATTATTCTTTTTCGTTGTAACTGTATTTTCTGTTTGTAGCTTCTATTTGTGTATTATAAATAAAAATATTAGTTTAAATTGGCATCTTATGTTAATTTACTCATTTTACCTATGCTTTTCTTCCTTTCTTATTAACATACGTATTTTTTTATATTTCCTTCCCACTTCTTATTCAATGTAGTGTCTAATCTATTTTAGTGTGCATATCGATTTCTTATTAAATATTTATTACTATATACAAATGTACTAAAATTTTTATGTCAACGAATCTATTAAAAATAAAAACAGTTACTAGTACTGACATATGCTATTTTTGCCTAAAAGGTTCCATCATGGAAGCTGCACAAAACCGACCATCTTTCCAAACATACCTTCCAAATTTAAATCAAGAGCAACAGCCGCCGTTGCTCCATAGACAAGGTTCTTTCTCGAGTACACACGGCCAGAGCCACGCGCCGCTCGACCGCCGCGTGTCGGAGCCTTACAGCCCCGACGTCGTGCGCAGGAAGAAGGACCTTAATGCGAAAAGGCACTCGATGCTCGTAGAGTCGAACCTCAGCAAAGAAGCGAAGGACCTCAACCGACGGAGCCACCACGACGTCACAATTGTAAAGAACCTATCGATGGGTTGACAGAAACGTTCCATTTTCAAATTTATGTTCGATTAATTTGAGCGTTCATATTTTGAATGTGTTTTCTTTTCAGTCTGTGGTCGGATGCGTTCTAAAGAGGTTGTATGTAGGTTTGTATGCACATAACTATCACTAGTCAATACGATGTTTAACCACATGTATCTATTTAATGTATTTCTTTGGAGGTTTAGAGGCTTGCCATTTTTCATTCCATATAGGAACATTGTTAAACGGTTGGTTTTTAAAATGCGCGATCATTGTTGCGTAGTGCATTTGTAATGTTTATTATATATTATGCGTATATAAAAGCACTGTTTCAAAACATGATATAGTACAGAATACTCTTGATATAACATTAAAAATAATAGATATTAGACATATTCGAAAATTAAATGTGTGTAGCTTTCCGCTGCGGGTCGGCGGTATATGATAGAAAAAAATATGCAAATAAATAAATAAAAAACTCGAATACTCTTAGTAAGTGTTGTTTTAGCAGAATTCTTCGTCGCGTCTTACATTGTTTTGCGATACAAAGACATCGTAAGCCATAGCTCGAGTGCCTTTTCATTGGATAGATCTATTTTAATATAATGGACTCTACACACTTCACTTAATATATAATTATTTAAATCATTATAATATTATATTAATAAATAAGTTTTTTCAAATTATAACCCATATTCATCCGGATCTGGTTGATAGTGACGCTATTGTGGTGTGAGAAGTCCAAAAGTATGGTTGGTGGTGGTAAAATATAATAACTTTGTGTATAGAGTCCATTGTTTTTTTTTAATTCTAAATATAAATGGCAAGTAGACAAATCTTTATGGAATATTAATGTGTTTTTTCTTTTTAATTAAGCCCTATATCTATGGGTGAGTTCCACTAAGCGCTCACAATCATCATGCTTACGACCGTGGTTTTTCCCATTCCACTTGCTTGGGAGCGTTACAATCGGAAGCTCAAGTGGAGTGGACTATGGAGCGCTTTAATGACCCATCGATAAAAAAAAGTACTAGATAAACAATCCCATGCAAAAATTATGTTAACAATTTTAAATTATAATAAACTTTAATAATTATTATTGGTGAACTTGACTTATAATAAAAAATAAATACAATTCTATATTGTATACCTACTTCAATTTAGTGGAGTATTTAAATAAATTATGTTTTAAAATATAATCATGTTTGAGTAATTTCTTCTGTCACCATCTTTAATTTTTTTTAAATTACGCGAAATTTCTCAACGTCTTCTTCGACCCAGCTCTTCAGATGGGTCGTTGTGTTGTTGAGCGAAAATAATGACGTCATTAGTGACATTTTAACCACGACCATAACGATCGTGGTCGTCTTGAGGGAATATTTTGGTCGTTGTGAGCGTGTAGTGGAACGCACCATATAATATAATTATTTGATTGATTAATAACAAATAAAGATTGGATATTATCTTAAATACATCATTATCAGGCTCTTTTGGTGCAATTTGTGTATCATATCTATTTTATTATTATTATTAAAAAATGGCAATACTTCAATAGTGTATACTGTATATTTTATTTAATAATGTTTTAATTACAAATAAGTATCTAATATAATGTATTTATTTTCTAGTAAAGTGCAATTTTTGACACATAGCATATTTAGTATAGCAATACCAATAGATCAGAATTTAAAAATATTGTTTATATTTTAAATCTGTACCTCTAATTAATTATTAATAATTATTTATCTTTGTTATTAATTATAGTATAAGTTTCTGAAATAGATATTAAAATATAACAGATATTTCAATAATTAAAATAAAAGAAGAAATACCATTTTCTATATACTCGTAATATAATAATTATGAATAATAATACTTATTATAATGCGTAAATTCTTAATTTCTATCCGCAAAAATATTCTTCAAATGAAGCAAAATTCACATCGTATCGTCCGTGAACTTCTCAGATCTTCAATCTACTTGCAAACAAATTTTACACAAGGAACATAAAACTGATTTGTTAATTTAAAAAAAAAAAACGTGGAGAATTTTAGTAAAACAAATATGTAGTTGGTTGGTATTTACGTCTTTTTAAGATATCATAATTAAATGCAGTTAGTATTATGTTGCTTTTGCCAAATCAAGGTAAAATAAAGGCGCAAAAATGTTGGAGGAACTAGAAGTTCATGGACGTTACATGATTTAACTGCTGGAGCTTTCTGTGACGGAATTTGCAATATAAAAAAAATATTATATAATATGAAAAGAAAAAGTAAAAATAATTCTTCAAATAAACATAAATATAAGGGAAAAATAAAATAGAAGTATTCAACATTTTTCAACATTTTTGCAATATTTGCGTGATCTTACGCGTGTAACATATTATATCACTTTTTTAACATATCCTTGTGTAAATTGCGAATATATAAGAATATCTGTAGATTTGTGTGTATTTTGTTGTTACGAGCTTCGTTTATTTAATACGTATAAATTATTTTTTATTTGTCCACAACGGTTGCATGCTTACAATATTTTGAAGTTTCTTCATATCAATGAGAGCTTAGCTTTTGGTGTCCATAGACAATATAGTAAGGAACGATTGTTGAAGTAAAACCTCTTTGGGCATGATTGAGGGGTAAGTCAATACTTTGGAAAAATGAGTGTCGCGGAAGTGAGAGTCAAATTTATTATAAATAATTTAAAAAAATATATTATATTTATATTTTTATATAAGAATTATTATTCATAAAAATGTATCTTTAATATTATGAACAATTTTATAATAATTATTACTTATAAAAATGAATATTTATTACTAATAATTTTATAAAAAACTAGCGACTCACCCTCGCTCCGCTCGGGTTCGTTCCTGGGGTGGGGTCTGGAAGGACCACCCTTATCCTTATCACTTAGGGGTATGAAAAATAGATAGTGGCCGATTCTCAGACCTACTGAATACGCATATAAAATTTGGTAAAAATCGGTAAAGCCGTTTCGGAGGAGTACGGTAACAAACATTGTGACATGGAAATTTTATATATAAGATATAATTTTATAAAAAATATTATATTTATATTTTGATTTGTTTTAATTTAATGGCGGTATATACCACAGCGCCAAAGAAGTTTTACTTCAACCGCGCAAAAGTGACACGCGCTCATTTTTTATAGAAATCCTCTTAAAAAAATAAAATTGTTTTCTGCATAATTTTATTCTTTTCAAATTTTATATTTCATTTAGATGAAAAATAAGGGAGCTCTCCCTACTTCTTATTAAAGACTAGTATAGCCCGCGGCTCCGCCCGCGTTCAGATGACCAAAAACCAAATTCTTAGGCTTTACATATTAGTTATACTCTTACAATGAAGTTTTTGAATTTTTTCTCAGAAATGAGATATTTTCCCGCGGTAAAAAGTATCCTATATGTTCACCCGGATAACCAGCTATCATCATACCAAATTTCATCAAAATTTGTCCAGTGGTTTTCTCGTGATGCGGTAACAGACAGACAGAAAGACAGACAGACAAAAATTCTAAAAACTATAGATTCGATTCTGTATCGATAATAATGTCTATTTCAATTAGATTTTCCAAAAAATATCTAATGTACACATTCGATTTTGTTACAATTTTATTATATGTATAGATAAACCTATGACCCTTTCTTTCACTACAAACTAAATTTGCTCTCATTGCTATGAAAGAAGTTTATTATATTTACTTGATTGATTGACAATAATATTACTTAAATTTAATGTCTATTCGATACTAAAATATTTAATTAAAGATATTATTTATATTTCACTATACATAGTTTTAACATTTCACTCATAAGTGTATGTGTTTTTATATAAAAAAAAGAATTGGCTTACAAAGTTTGTGCATTTGATATTAAGTGATAAGCTAAATTCGACAATTTTGATGTTTGATCTCTAATTTATGAAGAAAGTATTATTTTTATCTATTTTTAATTTGCCTGTACTACTTAATTTGTAAAACCCAATTGTGTCTACGAATATTATAATTTTATTAATAATAACAATAATTTCTATTTAATTTATATATTGTACTAATAATTTCTTGATTTTCATGATAATATTAATATCGAATGTAGGCGAATGGTGTGATGTTTGAACTGTTAACGTTTTTAAGTTTAGTAAAGGTCCAAAATTTCATAATTTTAATGGAAAAATTATAGCTTTTTAATTGTAAGTAAAACAATGCCTAAATAAATAAAGCCTTTTGCCTATTTAAATGTACTCATTAATCGTTTTAAAAAATTATAAATTTTACGATTACACTCTGGGCTGGCTGTTAAAAATATAGCAGTAAAAATTCATATGAAAATTAAATTTAGTTTATGCTTTCTCTACATACTCTAAACTAAAATACACTAGTCCATATCCAGCCATTGTAATTTATGCGGAATCTACGCCATTTGCTTTTAGCTGTAGAATATGTATAAAACAGGCTCTAGCTTTATAAATACCGCAAGGAACATCATGCATTTGTGATTGATGCGTGTAAAGTGAGCTGTGTCTGCTGGAAAGTGTTGTTTTAGTCTTTATCATTTATGAAAATAAACGTTTTACAACTTATTTGATGTTATTATTTTTATGGAACCTTATGAAAACCACAGATGACATCCATAATATATTATGTGTATGAGACACACAGCACCATCTAGTTCCATGGTAAGCTATAACGCTTGTGCTATGGATACCAAATGGTTGATATACTATACATATATAACTTTAAATACATACATATTATAAATATGAACACCCATGACTGGAGTACAAACATTCGTGCTCATCACACAAATGAATGCCCCAGCGGGACAAGAACCCGCGACCATTGGCACAGCAAGTAGGATCACTACTAACTGAACCAAACGTGTCGTCCTATAATATACTAGTACGAATGCTCCCATTCTATATACGAAGAAATTGGACAACTCTCATGGTAAGAGCTAAGTAAGACACAGCAGTACACTTCTATTTTTTTATCTTT